ATTTATTGTTTCAAGGAAATATTTGGTGGAGGAGAGAGAGAGAAAGAGAGAGACTTATTTCGCGGTATTTCAAATTGGTCTCATGTTATTCATGTCAAAATGTGGTGTAAGGAAATGTTTCCCCTTCGTTTTATATAGCGGGGTATTCTATAATGATATTAGTTGCAGATTTTTTTTCTATCGGTAAGATATGGTTTACAGTTCGAAATCTACGTTAAGTTATAGTACATTTAAAGTAAGTTTATTGCATTGCTAAACGTTTCTCAATCAAGATAAAACGTTTACAACCAATACTATTTTTACGACTAAATATGTTTTATGTAAATAAATAGTTCACGTTTCAATTAACTAAGGGTATTGTATAGGTTAGTTTTTTTTAACATTTTATAAGATCGAATTTGAAATGATTCAAAATTACAAAAAGACATCAAGAACTACGCAGTTAGTATGAAACAAAATATATAATAAATAAGATAACTTATTTGCTTTAATTAACAAGTGAAATGTTTCCAATCCAATCTTTCCAATCTAATATAGTCCAAAGGGTGACAAAAGGATATACATATGGTCACTAAAGGTTTTCTTACGGCTGGCAGTAAAAAAAAACTTGCCAAAGTGGGGGCATCCGTTTGGTTGTTTGGGATATACAAGTACGCAACCAACTTTCAATCAATCCAAACTAATAATTGTTTTTTTTTTTATCCCGCATCTTTTTATATTAATTTATTTTAACTCAAAATAATAATTGAAATAACTTTCTGAAATAAAACCCTAACATATATCAGACGCTTAACAAAACGATATACCATACGATAGATGAAACGCTTAACGATATCAGATACCATACGATAAAAGAAACGCTAAACCATACCATGTACCATACGACAAATAAAACGCTTAACGATACCATGAACCATACGATATACAAAACCCTAAACGATGACATTTACCATACGATGAACGAACGATGAACGAACGCTGAACGAACGTTGTACGGACGCTATACGAATGATGTACGAACGATGACCGAACTCTATACGAACGATTCCCGAACGCTGTACGTACGATTCCCGAATGAAAAAAGTGTTAACTTTTACGTTACAGGGACTGTATACATCCCTACATAAAAAAAGACGGATCTGAGCGCACTTACAGTAACTGTATCTAATACTGAAATATCAATCAGTACACAACCAACATCCAATGTATTTAGTGTGAAGACGTCATTAACAGCCAAAAGAAAACATGATATTGTTCAGTGCCAACATACAAGTATCGACAATTTGTAGAACACTGAATGTACATATGAATATGTATATAACAAAAAACATGAAAGTTTGGTTTTAATTTTCTGATAACAAAATCAATATCTATGCCAAAAAAAACAACAATTGCAGTGTTGAATTCGTAACCTTTTATAATGAGTTTATTTAAAGAATCGATAAGTTTACCCGGAAAATTAATCATATAATTACAAATGAATACTGTGATTGACTAATACAACTATTAAAATAAGTTGAACATCAAAATTAAATCATTGTATTTACTGATTTTCAGATTGACTTTTAAACGACTTGATAAAGTTAATCATATGAGTAGCTAATGCCAAATTGAACAGACCCCGGAGTTACTTTTACCTTTTTAGGATATTTTGTAAGTTATCCTCTGATAACACCATCTAACGGTCTAGCACTAGAAGAGAAGACATAATTACATTACTATTGTATAGTGCTGATTTTTTTACATCTCAAATCATTGTTAATGGATTGTATGCACTGAATGACTTCATTTAGAATCAATGTATGAAAATGTAGCTGGTTCATCAATGTTTTGAAATAAGCGTTCAACAGGTATGCCTGGTGTCGATGCCATATAGATGGTCCTGCTGAAGAATGGAATAGCTCTGTATATTGATGATTATAGATAATATTTTAGTAATTGCTTGAGAAGCTATAGTCATAATGATATTACGGGTGGCTGAAGCTGGCATTTCTACTCCCGGCTTCATCAGATTCAAACACCTATTGCAACGTTTTTCTACTCCTGGAATCATAAGCCTTCCAATAAATGAACAAATATAGTTCTTATATGACGATATATATGTCGTCAACCAGGTGTATTCTTGGTATATTCACTTTTAGCGCAAATGTTTTTATACACACCATTGGTTTTTCCGTGTTACAACCACCTTATTTATACGACCAAGTAAACTTAATTTGCGACAGCAAAATCCAAGATTTACGTAGGCAAAGCTTCACAATACAATACTGAAAACAAATCAGTCCATTTCAGTTATTATATTGGTGTAAAAAATTTCAAAACGAAAGATTTTTGGCAACTAAATAAAGTGGCGTCATACACGTCATATGTAAACAAACGAGTCTAATATTCATACGCGTATGGTCGGACCTTATGATTATACGCATATGGTCCAAATACTCATATACTCCGGAACATATACATAATTTAGAAGTATTGAAATGCAGAAGGAACGAACATGATTTAATCTGTTACAAAAATTTGAACCAAAATTTTTTTCAATTACGAATTATCGATAGTTTAGTCGTTCGTCATTTATCATGTCTATATTTTTGTCATAGTGTCTTTTTGGTTCATTTTAGTTCACATATCGATGCTTTCATGACTAACTGTTTAACAAAGTGATAGTTGTTCTTGTATGAAGTTGACCATGGTTCCAGCTTTGACAGATTTTATAAATTAAGGGAAAATCATATTTAACAAAACCCTCAAGTTGCGTTACAGGTGATTAAATGAGGTCTGCCATTAACAACATAAATTCGAACACATAGACAATATCATAACCATGGTTATAGTATTTCGTAGTACGAATAAATTATTTCGGTTTGAAATGTACAAGTGTCTTTTAAATATAAGCGGACTTCGTATGAATCAAAGTTTGAAAAATAAAACATTTTTAAAAGAACAACTGATTTATGAGTAACATCACCATACAGCTGATTTTTTATATATATAAAAGGAGAGAACACTCTTATAAAATGTAAACTTTCCCTATCAACAAGAATGCTGCAACTATGAATTAAGTTAGAATATTTTTGCAATTTATTTAGAACACGATCTTGACCTCAATTTCTTTTTGTTTTACCAAGGACCTTAAATCAAAAGACCAGAGGTCCCTCCTATATGTGATTAATGAGTAACATCAACATACAGCTAATTATTAATATAAGAGGGGAGAAAACTCCTACAAAATGTGAACCCTAACCCTCCTATCAACCAAAATGTTGGAACTACCAATTTAATAAAAACATTATTTCAATACGGTTTTTGAAGAGAAAGGATAATAAGCCAAAATCAGAATTTTGAATATAACCTTGACCTTAATTTCTTTTCGTTTGACCAAGGATCTCAAATCAAAAGAAACTAGGTCTCTGTAACTAATGGTTTGCCAGTTACAAATCCATTTCATTTATATCAAACACAATAGGAGAAATAACTCTCATATATAGTTTCTGAATCGGTTCAGTCAAAGTCAATTGTGATATCGTGAGGATATAAAGAGCAATTTTGGAAAATAGTTTTGTCGTTGTGTATTACGGTTGCGAACAAATATTGAACATAAGAAAGACAGTTTTCAGTCAAATAACTCAAATATCTAAGCGACATGTTACAAAACAGAAAAAGCAGCGTAAGAAAAGAATTTGGCGGATAAAAAAAACAACAATAGTAATTCGAACAAGAGAAAAAAGCTTTCCACGGAAAAGGGGAAGGACCTTATAATAATCAGAACAACATCAAGTCTTTCAACGGCAAAGTGAAGAGACCTAAAAATATGATGAAACTCACCATGTAAAAGATTATAGGTCAATTTAGTAGACTGTTATGAAATATGCTTGTTACATATGATCATGGACATGCTCCACTGTTCGCATTAAACATCACTTACTCTTTTTTCTCGATTGTTAGTTACCGTCATGCTACGTATCATTAATTACACTTGCAATGAGTAACAGAAGTGGAAGCATCAATGCAGCAGGAACGGAACTGCAGACTCGTGCGGAGTTTACACCGTTTTTTTGTTTGTTTTTTTTTTTTTTCTTTTTTTTTTTTTTTTTTGTTATTTTAGTTTGAGTCTTCAGTTTACTGTGCATTGTTTTGTGGACTGTTGCTTGTCTTTTCGTCGTTTTCTTGTATGACTTGGTATCGTTTTACATTTGATTTATGATTTTTGACTAACGTAACCGCTTGGTATCTTTTCACTTTTTCTTGTTACTTATAAAATATAATTTAAAAAATATCCTTGATCTGTAACAAATTTAGTGATATCAGTTCGATTAACTGATGATGAAATTAAATCATTGTTTACTTATTTAAACAGAATAATAAATAACATTAGAAAATAAAAATTTTATATAGTACAGTTACTTAATTAGAAATATTATGTTCAACTCAATAGCAATCATTTTTTCTTACATATATACAAATCATTTAATGCAAGGAAGTAGTTATGTTTTGGTTGAGGTAAGCAAAAAGTAAAATGACAAAAATACCGAACTCCAAGGGAAGTTCAAAACGGAAAGTCCTTTATTAAATGACAAAATCAAAAGCTCAAACACATCTAACGAATGAAAAACAACTGTCATGTTCCTGACTTATTAAAGGCATTTCCTTATGTAGAAAATGGTGGAAAAACGTATATCAATAAAAAGCAATTTACACATAATTTGTAATATAAAGTGTTATACCAATATGGCAAGTGAAAATTCTGAAGGAGACTTTTTTTTTTATTCTGTTTTTTATTTTTATAATAGCTTAAACATTGGGAAACCATATTTTATATATACCATTTAGTATACCCTGGTTTTATTTTGTGAGTTTCAGTTTACCACGTTTTACATGAACGCAATAAATAAGAGATTTGCATCTAGGTTTAAGCGTCAACGGCATAGAAACATTGTTGTAGTTTATTTAAAAAGTGTGGTGTATCAATTCGAAAACACATAACGTTCTTTTCCCCTTACCTGTACATGTAGCACCAGTCCAGTGTCCATTACACAAGCATATTAAATCACCATAACTGTTTGTACTGCAAGATCCTCCATTTGAACAGTAGTCAGGAGGACAGGACGTCTCTGTGAATAGTTATAAAAAATTTGTATAACCTGTAAACAGGCAGTCCTTTTTTAATTTATTTTAGATATGCAAATGACAAAAATCTGTAAATAAATAAAAATCTATCAACTAATTGAGGATTTTATAAGTAGTAACGCAAATTCACTGACAGTCACAATGGTTACTTATACAATGTTATATGTCTTTCGTGTGGGTTTTTTTTTATCAGCATTTACACTTGAACTAAAAATGATAATTTGATTCAAAATGAGAATATGTTTGTTTTTCATAAATATTTACATTTAAAACAATTACGTTGACGATACCAAATTTTGAAGTATAAACAAGAGCTGGCAACAAAAAAGTTAAAAATGTAAAGGTGTGATGAGAGCCATTATTGCGACTCTGAAGAAAACAAAACAAAGGCATCCATTAAAAGTATCTAATTATTACTAATGTAAGTTATTCCAACTGATAAATGATCGGGTGATATTATATAAATAACACATAGCTGAGAGGGTGATAGAGCAGATTGTTACCCCGAGAAAACATTGTCAACTGAGGCGAAGCCAAGGTTGACAATGTCTTTTTGAGGGATAACAATCTGCTCTATCACCCTCTCAGATATGTGTTATTTAATTTAGTATACTGAATGCTCTGTTATTACTGTCGATTAAATTTCAAATTCAAAGTAATAAACTATGACGTCTTGTACATAACAACCATCCGTATTTAATAAAGCGCACACTTGATCAAGCGTCTCCGTCAAGGGTAATAGAGTATTTGCCATAGGATAGAGCCGTATTTAATAAAGCGCACACTTGATCAAGCGTCTCAATGAAGGGTAATAGAGTAAATTAACACCCTCGTATTAGCCAATCAAAATATGGCATTTTAACGTGAAGTATAATAACATAAGTTATATGTTTTAATACAGACTCCCTACGGATCTATAGAGGGTAAGTAAAATCCACTAATTATGTAACGTAGAATTACTAACCTTCTAGCCTAATGGGTCATTAATACTTCATTAAGCCTTTATGATGCATTAGGCTAATGAAGACTTAATGAATCATTAGACTAATGACACGTTCGTACAACCGGCTGCAGTTGCATAGTTTTTTTTTGGACAGCGGACGTTTCTTGCCAAGTTTTGTATGAAATGTTCAAAATGAACAATTAAACAAAATAACTATAATGATAAACGTTACGTCATGACACCCCGATGCAACATACTGACCTCTATGGATATATAGGGGGTCACCACTTGACGGCATTAGACCAATTACATCGTCCCTTATTTATACGGAGTACGATCAAATGGGTTTATTGATACTGTGAAATATTAAGAATGTCAAACATGACGCATTTGACCTCAAAGCGTACAATAATTATTGACCAAAGGCTTATTCAACACATCTTTTACCAAAATTTACAATATCACAGAATCAAGCTAATATGTCGGGTTTTGCAGTTCTCCCAACTTTGAAGAAGCTTGAAAACAAAAACGTAATATTTTAGACACAATTTAAAACGTTAATACCGAATTTTGACAGACTAATGTCTTGTACGTGGATATATGTTTAATACAGTTTTTTTCCGAGTTCAAGGGATCAATAAGGTACCTGTTCAAATTATATCCTCGTAACGTACGTTACCTAGCACTTGCATTGTTGTCCATAATGCAAATTATACGGCTCTTAATCGACAAAGAGGGTACTTATCGATCCAATGATGCAACATTGTAGATATTTTCAATAATTGAAAATCTGCCAGATGGCACAACAGATAAAAACACATTTCATTGAACAATGAAATAATGGATCACTGTAACTAAAGCGCTTACGTTTTGGCAAAATGAACTTTTATACATTTGTACGACTTTTAATGAGTACGACTTATTAACGATTTGAACTTGCAGGGAACAACACTTTGAGTGGCACGTGTGAACCTGAAACTACCTACCTTTCAGAAGGATCCTAGTTCACTCCGTTTTTTAAGGGATTTCTTTTTTTACTTTTCAGTTTAATATATATTCAACATAGAGTTTTTTTGTTCTTTTCGTCGTTATTCTTTTTAGCCATGTTGACATTTATTTTACACCTTGATATATATCAAACAGGTCGCGAAAAGTGAAAATACTTGGTACTCTAAATTATTAAACGTTTTAAATAAACATGCTCAAATCATAAGGCACTCGAGACTGTATTAGAAAATATTTGTCATTGGTTTGATGAAAACAAAATGTTAGTAAATGTGTCAAAAACAAAGACAATGTGTATAGGTTCAAAAATAAAACTGTCATGTGCAATGACACATTACATATATCCATTAATGGCCAACATATTAATGAAAGAAACTATGAAAAAGTACTTTTTTTAATGACGCATTTCTGTCTTGGTATGATCATATTAATTATATTATCAAAACAGTTAATTCTTCATTAGCGTTACAAGAAAGAATCAAGAAATGAAATACTTGAATCATAATGCACGAATTTTATTTTACCATGCTTAAATTCTTCCACATTTGCATTACTGTTGTTCAGTATGGGGAACTGTTAAAAAAAATTAATTGACAGTTTACTAAAATTGCGAAAAAGTGCAGCTAGAATTATTTCAAACGAACACGATATTATTAAACCATCTATTGAACTATTCAGTGAATCTGAAATTATTCCCTATACTAAGAAAATACTTTACAACAAGTCATTATCAATGTTTCAATAAGAACATGAACTGGTATTAAAACAAATATCCTATCTAATTGTGCCTACAAATAGTAAACAATCATACAATACTCTATTTTCATCATCAGATAATTTCAGTGTTCCTAAATCAAATACAGAATTATAAAAATCAAGTTTTTTCTTTAAGTGGTCCATAAGTGTGGAATTCATTTTCCAATGAAATAAGAAAATCAAAAACTGTATCTGCACCCAAATACTCTTAAAAGTCACTTTGTTTTAATAGAATGTCATTTTTTAAAGTTTAACCACAATGTATACTTTAGGTGTATTATTTTTTTTCTTATGTTTATATATATATATATATATATAATATATTTGAATATTGGTAGATTGTTTATGTTTTATTCATGTAGTTCATATTGTATGTAGACAGCCTTATCAAAAATTGGTTAAATCCAAATGTGTCACTCTCTTTGGATAAAGATATAACTATTATTATTATTATTATTATTATTATTATTATTATTATTATTATTATCATTATTATTTTTTATATAAAATACTCCGGAGGGTTAATATAAGTTCTGTTCCACACTTGAAATTGTATTTAGCGATATATACAATAATAAGTTTCTGTGAGCAGTCCTATCTAACATATATCCTTAAATTCTCGTTTGAGCTCTTTGTGATATATATTATATTTATATATGCGAGTTTCAATGAAATAACAAAACACAATGCTGCATATTCACTATATAGGACAAGGTTACAACTCACTTCAACTGTGTGAACTAATTTAACATGTTTAAGTCACATGCCATTTGAAATTAGGTAAAACGATTATAGAATTGAACATGTTGAAGTTTTTATTTTATTTTACATTTATACGAAATAAAAGCAAGTGACCATCATATTTCGGATAAAACGCGGAAGATAAAAGCAGTATCATTGCACGTAAAATAAATTATAACACGTCATATAGCTGACAAAAGAATATGATGAAGTCGATTTCAATGTAAATAGCTCACAAAATATTTATCAAAGTTCAGTCATTATTATACATCTATATTATTGGATAACAATTTATCAATATCAATTATCCATTTTTTACGAAACATATATTGTAAAATACTTTTTACAAACGATTAACATTTTGCAATTCGTTAAAATGTTTAAAAGCAAAATCGTTTGTATTGAGTTCACGCAGAGTACCAAAAATAGTGTTGATTTATGAATGAAGATTGCGAGTATAATGATGAGTTGATTTCATACCGCATAGGTTACTTTCGTACGAAATGGAAGCACATGACGAAATCAAATAAATCATATTTCACCAAAATAAAATTATCAGCACTTGTATGAAGTGAACTGTAAATGTATGCTTTTAAAGCATACCTTTGTATTATAGGGTGAATTCAAATTTACTTAATTCAGTTTTCTACAAGAAAAGAAACGTGCATCCAGGAATAAGGTCCATGGTGTAGAAACATAAATACTGGTATATATTTTCTGTTAACAAAGCATGGTGTATATATATCACGAGAACACATAACATTGTATTTCCTTCTTTACCTGTGCATGTACCACCGGTCCAGTTTCCAACACACGAGCATATTAAATCACCATAACTATTTTGACTACAAGATCCACCATTTGAACAGAAGTCATGAAAGCAAGATTTGTCTGTAAATAGCGATAAAACGTTTAACGTATAACAACCTAATAAATGAGTTTGTTGAGGCAAGCAAATGAAAAAAAAAGAAAACATAATAAAACATCTATAAATCAATTGTAGATTCTGAGAATAATCACGCGTATTCTCAGAAAACTGGCGATAGTCATATAATTCGGAAAAGATTACCAAAGTGACCATAGGCCTATGGTCACTTTGGTAATCTTTTCCGAATTATATGACTATCGCCAGTTTTTTTTCATACATTGACACGCTTACCAAACTCTTAACTTTTGAATTGAATACAAAATGTCAATGTTTTTTAATATCAAATTTTGAATCATAAACAAAAGCTTGGTAACAAGGGAAGTATAAATGAGAAGCTCTGTTAAGAACCATTATTTCGACTTTGAAAATCAAAACTAAAAAACAGAAATGTAGGTTAAGTCGACTAATAATGAAATCGGATGCCACAATCTGTTAGAAATCACGCACATAGGGATACGTATTCGCATTTTTTAGTGAAACCTTTTACGATATTGGTACCGTGACCAGAAAAAAGACTACTTCAAAGCTGAAATCTTTTCAAGCGTGACACAAGATTTGATGAGCGGAGAGAATTGGAATATAAACCGGAAGAAGACGAGTTGGAAACTTTTCTAGATACTGTAAGGGAGACACAAGATATTCTGAAGGATCTGGATAAGAAAATTCTAAGAGGTCCCCAGGAGGAGCATATAGAACAAGAAAAACATGACCCAGATGAGGATAAATTCAACTCATAAACGACAATTCGCTATTTTCGTTGATTTCTCCAGGTACAAGCATCTAATTCAAATGAATTCTTTTTATATTAACGCCTAATGCAACACTGCATCCAATCTTAAATGGAGTGTCCAAAATTTCGATTACTTAAAATGTTAACTACAATGAAAAAATTGATACATCATGTAGAAGAGACACATATAATAGAGGACAACACAGAGGGGGAAAACAAACAACATTGAAGAAATTTCAGGATTTTTCAAGGTTTGACACTTAAAAGAAATTATTATGATATGTAACTGCGTCATGAGATTTATTCACAGAAAGACACAAGGATACACTGGTCCATTGATCGTAAATAAAACATACAGATCAACCTTAATTTGGATGAAAGTCACTCAAGAAAACAAAGCCTTTGACACATACGACGATTTACAAAGAATGGTAAAATCAAAACATTCTCTGTTCAAACAGATTAAATTATATATGGACGACAACAACTTGATTCGTAGTACAGGAAGAAAACACCAGTCAGCTATAATGAAGGAGAAATATTCAGTATTGTAACCGACACATGACCAACTTACAATCTTAATTATAAAAGATGCACACAAACGAAGCTAATATTCAGTAGTAAATAGCAACAGTACTATTCACTAGATTTTCAGACATTTCAGTATAGTGTTGTTATATACAGGTAAATAAGAACAATTGAATCGATCTTGATTATTTGCACGAGGATTGTCTCAACATTATTTAATTTACCGTAGTTGATAGGTCTGTAAATTGACAGGTAGACTTGATAGCTCATTGTTCAGTCTTTTAACAGCTGATCAGATTAAATTGACCATTTCAGTTCAAAATTGGCTCACTAATGAAAACTACTGTTGCATTAAATTAAGAAGTCACATATCATCCGATATAAATGTATTAAATCTTTTTTTGTTTTTAAATAAAAACATATATGAAAATGCCCTAACCTCGGGTTGTCAGCGTACACACTTTTCAGGTGTATAGAATAATTCTGAACTTGCAATTTCTAACGACCAAGTGTATCATATTCAAAGGAAATGTCATTGCTTCGGATGATAATATTTATAGCTCTCCATAGTTCAGTTTGTCTTATGACTGTACTTTAACTGTGCCATATAAGCAATACTAAAGTAGAGCTTGCTGTTCGGTATCAGCCAAGGCTCCGTGTTGCAGGCCGTTATAACCTATAACTGTTTACTTTTTGCACATTGTGACTTGGATGGAGAGTTGTCTCATTGGCACTCATACGACATCTTCTTATTTATATTATTGAGAAATGCATCAACTATTACCTTTCAAATACATATATTCATCATTGTATTTTTCGATAAAATAAATACTTACAGCATGTACAGGTGCAATTATCAAAAACGCTTGTTTGAAGACTAGACAGACGAAAATTATTCCGATCCAAACAGGTTACACTGCCAAAATTCGAAGATGATTTCCACCAGGACCAAAAAGGAACGTTTGTGCAATCACATACTAATTCAAGATACCTATTTGTATATCAATCATTAAAAGTTAATTAATAAGTTCTGGTCCATGTATATTTTCTATTGCAGTTGAGTACAATACGATAATTAAAAGGACCATACATGTATACGAACAATGGCAGCAACATGAATAACATCTTCTGTTCCTAATGTGACTTAAAATGAAATATGACAATATTCTTAAAGATTATACTATTTCAATAGCTTTGTTATAAATGGCAATTTAGATTAGCTAAGCTGTATTTGGGAAAACTTTTAGAAATTTTTGGTCCTCAATGCTTTTCAGCTTTGTACTTTATTTGGCCTTCTTAACATTTTTTGATTCGAGCGTCACTGATGAGTCTTTTGTAGTCGAAACGCGCGTCGGTGCAAATACAAAATTTCAATCCTGGTATCTATGATGATTATAAACTAGAGGCTCTGAAGAGCCTGTGTTGCTCACCTTGGTCTAAGTGCATATTTAAACAAAGGACACAGATGGATTCATGACAAAATTGTGTTTTGGTGATGGTGATGTGTTTGTAGATCTTACTTTACTGAACATTCTTGCTGCTTACAATCATCTCTGTCTATAATGAACTTGGCCCAGTAGTTACAGTGGAAAATATTTTGTAAAAATTTACAAAAATTTACAAAATTTATGAAAATTGTAAAAAATTTACTATCAAGGGCAATAACTCCTTAAGAGGTTAATTGACAATTTTGGTCATGTTGACTTATTTGTAGAAATTACTTTGTTGTACATTATTGCTGTTTACAGTTTATCTCTATCTATAATAATATTCAAGATAATAACCAAAAGCTGCAAATTTTCTTAACATTACCAATTCAGGGGCAGCAACCCAACAACGTGTTGCCTGATTGGTCTGAAAATTTCAGGGCAGATAGATCTTGACCTAATGAACAATATTATACTTGTTAGATTTGCTCTAAATGCTTTGGTTTCAGAGATATGAGCCAAAAACTGCATTCTGCATTTTACCCTATGTACTATTTTTTAGCCATGTCGGCCATCTTGGTTCGCAGGCGGGGTCATTGGACACATTTTTTAAACTAGATACCCTAATGATGATTGTGGATAAGTTTGGTTAAATTTGTCTTAGTAGTTTCAGAGGAGAAGATTTTTGTAAAAGATTACAAAAATTTACGAAAAATTGTTAAAAATTTACTATAAAGGGCAATAACTCCTTAAGGGGTCAACTGACCATTTTGGCCAAGTTGACTTATTTGTAGATCTTGCTGTTCACAGTTTATCTCTATCTATAATTATATTTAAGATAATAACCAAAAACGGCAAAACTTCCTTAAAATTACCAATTCAGGGGCAGCGGTCCAACAACGGGTTGTTCGATTCATCTGAAAATTTCAGGGCAGACAGATCTTGACCTGATAAACAATTTTACCCCTATCAGATTTGCTCTAAATGCTTTGGTTTCACAGATATAGGCCAAAATCTACATTTTACCCCTATGTTCTATTTTTAGCCATGGCGGCCATCTTGGTTGGTTGGCCGGGTCACCGAACACATTTTTTAAACTAGATACCCCAAAGATGAGTGTGTTTAAGTTTGGTTTAATTTGGCCAAGCAGTTTCAGAGGAGAAGATTTTTGTAAAAGTTAACGACGACGGACGACGACGGACGACGACGACGACGGACGCCAAGTGATGAGAAAAGCTCACTTGGCCCTTTTGGCCAGGTGAGCTAAAAAGGAGATGTGGTATGATTGCCAATGAGACAATTCTTCACAAGAGACCAAATGACACAGAAATCAACAACTATAGGTCACCGTATGACCTTCAACAATGAGCAAAGCCCATACCACACAGTCAGCTATAAAAGGCCCCGAAATCACAAATGAAAACAATTCAAACGAGAAAACTAACGGCATAATTAATGTACAAAAAAATTAACAAAAAACAAATTTATAACACAGCAACAAACGATAACCACTGAAAGACAGGCTCCTGACTTAGTACAGACACATACATACAGAATGTGGCGGGGTGAAATATGTTAGCGGGATCCAAACCCCCCCCCCCCCTAACCTGGGACAGTGGTGTAACAGTACATCATGAGAACGAACTATAAAAATCAGTTGAAAAAGGCTTAACTCATCATATGGATACAAATAGAAATACATATAACAAGAACACAGTGTAGACGTGACCGGTGACTTGTACATCCCAACAACAAAAAGACACTAAGTACAGATCTGAGAATACTCGCAGTCACTGACAGCTAGTTCAAAGCCAATATCAACTAATAAAAGAAATCATGCATCTAAGACTGCATTATCAATCAGTACACATCCAACATCCAATGGGTTTAGTGGAAAGACGTCATAAACAGTCAGAGAAAAACATGATCTTGTGCAATGCATAGATAAGGGAATCGACAGATTGTAGATCCATGAAAGTGGATATGTATATTTAGTTTGATGAGTTTATAATGTATAAATGCAGTTGCGCAGTTTTGCCGAACATATTGTCTCATAAAATGAACATATTTTCTGTTTTTGGTACATTGCTGACCTTATGTAGTACTTGCAACATTAGGCATTGTCGTTTGACGTGAACTTGAGTGATCGATTCATATTGATTAATGTGAACTTTATTGATGCATCAATGGTCGGTGAAAGATTCTATTTAGTTTTTTTTACTTATCTGACGGATTCTAAATGGTCCAGCTGGTTCGTGCATATTTCAGAAGAATTGATGATAAAAGCATAAAACTTTGCTCAATTGTAGACAAAAGTTCGGTAGTTAATCTAAGCTATGAACCCACTCTGAAAAATTCCAAATGGCGGCCATTTTCAAGGTGACGATAATGAGTCTAAATCAAACAACCATATGTAAAAGATAACCCATAAACATGATAAAATTTAAACCAAATCTTTAAAAAGCATATAAAATGTAATCCAACGTATTAACATTATTAAGTCTATCGAATTACACTTTGCAGTTGATACGATATTCTAGAGATTGCGTTTTCATAAAACATGGTTGCTGCTCTCAAGACAATTTAATCAAGGATTCCATGTATGATCAAGTCATTCATACGACGTTTTTAGGACGACATCAGAATTTGTTTGACCGTTAAGTATTATCTGCGTCACAATTGACCATAGATATGTTCTACTTCTCCTAGCCACAATTCCTTCTTTTTTTCTTCGATTGTTACTTCAAAATAATCAGCAAATAAGACTAATCACCGAATTCAAATGTGCGATGCGTAACAGCACAAGTGTAACCAGCTTGCCAGTAACTACTCATCTTTCCGGAGCTCCTACGATGACCCCTGGGTATGATTAAAAGAGACTTGTGTTGTTATGCTTCCAGTGTTTTGTTATTTCTCAACCAGTGACCAGAGAAAGTCTAGTTAATCAATCGTGCAGTCCTAGAAATCCTTCTTCTAAAGAGTTCACAGTCGGTAATGTTTAGATAATCAACATGTACCGATGGTTTTTACATGTTATATATTTTGTGATTCTAAGGGTTAGGAAAGAGACATTCATTAATCAACTATTAAATGATGTATGCCTCATTAATTGATATGACTCATGAATCTATTTAAACAAGAACATATAGGTGGGTGTAACCTGTGGAACAGGAACTGCTGGCCCTTATTGAACACTTGATATCATCATCATTGTGCAGTGAAGTTCGTGTTGCTCAATTTTATAGATTTCTTGACTGCTATTAGTCGTTTCCGTTTTTTCCATGATGTTATTTGGGTTTTTTTACTAATTATTTTTGAGTGCCTACTACGTATCTTCTCCATTTATTTTAATCATGTTTAAACAACTTAGTTTTACATCTGCAGTTTTCAAAATGTATTTTAAAAACAGCCCATTTAGTCTTTGCCACACTCCCACCGCATTTAAACAGCGGCGTACATAACAATATTGCCCTTGCACATTTGCATCTACTGCGAAATCCGTTTTCAATATTTCACTTTTATTTTATTAACTCCTTACACAAGGTTGACACCTGTGTGTTAAATGTCCAATAGGGTATATGAATAGCGCCTTTCGGAAAAGGTCGAAACATTCCACCACCTTAAGTTTTCACATGCTTTGAGAATGTCATTTGTTTGTACTGGTGTCAAACATCATGTGTTTTACTTGGTCTGGATTGGTGTTTAACTTGGTCTCGATTGGTGTTTTACTTGGTCTCGATTAGTGTTTTACTTGGTCCTGACTGGTGTATCACTTGGTCTTGATTGGTGTTTTACTTGGTCTCGATTGGTGTTTTACTTGGTCGCGATTGGTGTTTTACTTGGTCTCGATTGGTGTTTTACTTGGTCTCGATTAGTGTTTTACTTGGTCCTGATTGGTGTTTCACTTGGTCTTGATTGGTGTTTTACTTGGTCTCGATTGGTGTTTTACTTGGTCCTGATTGGTGTTTTACTTGGTCTCGATTGGTGTTTTACTTGGTCTCGATTGGTGTTTTACTTGGTCTCTATTGGTGTTTTACTTGGTCTCGATTAGTGTTTTATTTGGTCTCGATTAGTGTTTGACTTGGTCCCGATTGGTGTTTGACTTGGTCTCGATTGGTGTTTTACTTGGTCTCAATTGGTGTTTGACTTGGTCTCGATTCGTGTTTTACTTGGTCTCTATTGGTGTTACTTGGTCTCGATTGGTGTTTTACTTGGTCTCGAATGGTGTTTTACTTGGTCTCGATTAGTGTTTTACTTGGTCTCTATTGGTGTTTTACTTGGTCTCGATTGGTGTTTTATTTGGTCTCGATCAGTGTTTTACTTGGTCTCGATTGGTGTTTTACTTGGTCTCGATCAGTGTTTTACTTGGTCCTGATTGGTGTTTTACTTGGTCTCGATTGGTGTTTTAATTGGTCTCGATCGGTGTTTTACTTGGTCTCGATTATTGTTTTACTTGGTCCTGATTGGTGTTTTAACTGGTCTCGATTGGTGTTTTACTTGGTCTCTATTGGTGTTTTACTTGGTCTCTATTAGTGTTTTACTTGGTCTCGATTATTGTTTTACTTGGTCTCGATTAGTGTTTTACTTGGTCTCTATTGGTGTTTTACTTGGTCTCGATTGGTGTTTTCATAGGAAGATTGATACATGTTGATTAATTTGGCAATTTATGGACAAGAAACCTTTCAATGCTGTAGTGATATATTGACGGTCCATCCGACTGTTTCCCTTCTCTTTATACAAGTTTGCAATTCTACTCGTGAGCTTATCTCGATCTACGTTTACCGTAACATTTACAACACTTATTTTTTATATCTTAATGTCATCATAAAGCGTACGGTTGCTTGGACGCTATAATTTTGATGGTCGTATGTAAAGAACCAATGTATAAGCATTATAATGGAATCTTTATACAATACGAAGGAACATTCTCCGTACAATCTCACACCAGCGTGTCCAGTTCAATCGTTGATGGTACAGCGTAGTGCTGGAAAAGGTGAATTGAAGTCTTCTTGTTTTCAATATTGTCAACGCCTACAATTGTTAAATCACCAGGAAGTTTCCGGGGACAAACCACATATTCAATGTTTAAAGTTTCATATTACTGTAGATAAATGCATACTTGGATCATACAAAAACGACAATCAACAACTGTACATTTTGTCAATAAGTCATCCTCTACTGGTTCTAGCATCCAGTAGAATGCTCATATACATTTAGAGCTGGTTTCAGTTCAGATGAGGTAATATTGAAAAATAGAGGAATAAAACAAAATCAATTTTGAAATCGTTAGCATCGTGTTGGACTCAATGGAATAACTTGACTGCATCTAAATATTTGGTCAACCGATGATCAACTAATAATTTCAATGACTGTTGAAAAGACTTTTGCAAGCATCCTGTCTTTAAGGTTCCTCAAAATGGATACTGCGTTTCCATCAAGTCTTTTTGAACTACCGGGGCAGCTTTTGAAAGTATCGATGCCTCTCCGTCATATATGCAAAACTAATCATGAAACAAAATAAGCACGCACATGCCTTGTTAATAGCCCTCCAAGCCTTGGATTACTGCAAGAATGCAAATTTATTCATTTCATATCCGAAATAGAGTCAATTCCGTCAAGACAGATCAATCCGTCCGATCTATCCGATCAGTCACGGATGTTAAGTTTGACAACGTTGAGGACATGAACTTGCAGTGAACTTTACTAATCGGTGACAGATTGATGACTGCTGCCTGATCACTAAAATAGTAACGCCCAAGGTTGTAAAATACTGTATCAGTATAGATAACAGGAAATGTGGGTATATGATAATCACACAGGAATACAGTGACACAAAAAAATTAAAAGTAATCCAGAGCTAGGCCAGCATGCATTATTCAAAAAAAGAGAAGTATCTGTGAGTGTTAATGAAGGTGCATAGGACAAAATCATTATATTTTCTTAAAATATTTATCTAACCTCCAGTAGTAAATACTTTTCAAACGTCAAGTATGATGAAAGCGGTCTTACAACATGGCAGCCTTGTTATAATTTCGTTCAGCAGAAAAAAAATCTGCAAAAGTGGGCGACCCTTTAGCGCTGTCAGATGTATAATTACAACAACAACATGAAAGAACCATTGCAACAACTCTGTAAGGGGTTCTAGGGTGGCCTGTTGAAAGACTTACATTATGCCCTATCAGATGTACCTTAATATTCTAGTTTGCTTCCTAATCCCTTGCCTTTATCCCAATCCTCCCTTTTTTTGGAACCTACTTTTGATATTCATTGTAATTCTGTTTTCGTCATGAACATGTACGAAATGTTTACCACTGAACGTAATGCAAACAGCATTCAATAACCAGTTGCAAAATCGGATGTTTTGCATGTACATTTATTACATCATTGTCCTGTTGAAAAAAGGGTAGCGATAACTGTAGTGACGAATATATTACGGCAGGAGGATTTATGTTCTATTTTAGATATTACTTTGTTTATAAATTTTTTTGTTGCCTTCAGCTCTGACATTAATGAAATGAGCTCTTTTTAAGGACTGATTTTTAGTTTATTAATGCTAAGGTTTTGGTATATAAACATAGTATATCAGCTTCAATCGACCACACGTTTAATCGCCCGTCCCAAATTTATAATCTCGAATAAAGCTAATACTAAATTATTGCCAATGTTTGTACTTACAGAGTGTTTAAATCGAAGGTATATCTAAAAGTATCATTCTTGACAAAGGTCAAATTGTTTCCCCTCAAATCTCTGAAAAAAAGATCAACTCTAAAATGTCATTTATAACCTGACTATTCATAAACATGTACAAATACTACGTATTACTTTATTGCAGTACGTTTTTCAAATGCTTTATAAAATGAAAACAACTTAGTGCATTGCACAATATTTTCCATTAAACTATTTATAGTTGATTGATAATATCTTGTTTAAGAAATGAAATCCAGTGTAATCACTGGTGGTTTCTTATATCTATTGATTAGCTTCGAGAGTCACTGAAGAGAAATTATTTATCAATATGTCAATCTGGTGCAGCTAAATTAGTACCTTAAATATTACTACTCAGACTGGGGCAATACATTTCCTGGTGGATTGTAAGTTACCGAGGTACCACTATCCAAGTAGACAGTACTACGGTACTGGCATAAAAATACGGATATTGTGTTATGAAATTTGCTGTAACAAAATGTTTGAAATAGTTTTAAATTCAGGAATAAATCTCCCTCATGCAAAGTTCTTATTCCTGGCCCGCCTATGGCTTTATTTTTTGTCATTTTTGATAAAAAAAAAAAAAGCTCTGCATGTTGTGAACAAATTTTGAATAGTCAAATATGTTGGGTCCGACCATCAATGATACAACATTTAATGTCTACATGTGCATCTGTTGTTGTACAATTGATAACTTTAATGTTCAAACAGTCTGCTACTAGACCCTGGAACGAGTCGTAATGTTGGATTTGAAGTAAAAGTCAGTTCACCAGAGAAGATATATATCCAAATTATTAATATGAAACTAGGCGTACACAATTATTTCTTTTATACAAGTCTAAAAAATTAAGATGAAAAATTCTGTGACCATTTGATATGGTTTTTTTTTTTATCTTGTCAGCAAACATTTAAACGTTTAAAGTATTTTCTTGATATCCAATACATTTCATACTAGGATTGTACTAAGGTTCTTACAGTTGTCTAACTGAAAATCAGATTGTCCACCTTGTCCCAGTTAGAAAATAAAATGAATATCTTTTTAACAGGTGACATACTAAAAGTCAACGAAACATCAATAATTGAATGCCAATATTTCAGGTAAAAGGTTTCGAAATCAGGGTATATTGACAGCTGTCATCGCTACAAGAACGTATTTTTATGACATTTAAAATATTGTTGATCATCTACATTGACTAATATCTTGTTTAAGAAGGAATATGTCAAATTTTGTAAAAACAAAAATCCTTCTGATTCAAACAAAAAACAAAAAAACTGACATCATCAAGGAAATGGATTTTGTAATAAACAGTAAACAATCGGTATTTCTATGGGAACCAAATATGCTCCTCTTGATGCCGACTTGTTCTTTTGTTAACACAGAAGCTTTTAAGAAAGAATGAAAGGATGCCACAGGTGCCACATGTGAAGCAAAATCTGCTTTCATTTCCACAGCCTCTGATATCATCCCCTTTTTTGTTGCAGTTAAGTCTTTAGATTTTCTATATTATTTTTTGCATTCTGTTGATATTCTTTTCGTCGCTTTTTTTTCTATATTTGCCATGTTAGTATTTTGTATGCATCTTCGGTATCTTCTGCCTCTTTTTTTTTGATGTTTTGATGTTTTTTTATTGAGTCTAAATCTGACTAATGGAGGGCAATTATCATGATTACGTGTATTTACAAAATAATGATATCATAAATATATTCAATAAATAAATTGAGTGTCGAACAAACCAATATAAACGAAAAGCGAGTTATTTTTCTATTGCATATACAAACACGTCAGATAACTTTTGATGTCCATCAACAAGTAAACTGTTTTCTTAAAAATAGGCCTCTTTTGACAAACAATAAGACGCAAGATATAGTTTAAGATACAATTTTTTTCATGGTCATAACTTGACTTGCATATATTAGTTAATTTTGATGGTCAGTACCGAGCTGAATTTTGCGACATATGACTTAAATTATCCCATTGTGCCCAACTTTTAATTTTTACATCGAAAAATTCCGGTAACATTTGCTTATGGAGAAAAGTGTTCTCTCCTAAAGTCTGACAAATGTGGAGTGTCAATGTTACAGATGACAAAGGACATTTGTTTTAGCAGATTAGCATCATCCTTTTTATTACAGGGACATGCGTTCAAATATTCAACATGAAATTTTAAAAAGTTCAGCAATATCAATTGACCAGTATTTGATGGATTCGTATGCCTTCTCCATAAAAAGTACTGGAACGTGTTGCTATGTATCAGTACCCAACCGATTAAATGTTGCATATTTGAATGGTATTTATTTTTTCAATAAGTATGTGCGCCTCATAAAAATGCCCATTGTTCATTTAAAGCAGAAATCTACAACAATTCAAATTACGTATACTCACATTTCAAGGCAATTACGAATTCCTCTAAACATTGAGCTCTCAATGACTGCAAAGTTGTTATTCTTTAAATCTCTAAAAATTAAATAAACCATACAACATTCAAAACCATATGATTCGAGGACAAATGTAGGTCTTTTCTTACTTTATTTGTTGATTAAAAAATGACTTAAAAAGTAGTCAAATCTTGTTTTAAAAAAAAAATCACTTCCGTTCTATCCAACGCCTATTCCAAAAATTTAGTGTTGTTATTCTTCATGTTATTAGTTTTTCGGTATACATAATGATAAAAAATATGGTTTCAATATACTTCCGTAAGGTTTTTTAAATTTTCAATTAACAAAATACGTTTATCTCAACTTGTTTTATTGGATAAGGGAGTTAATAAGCTACTTCCGCTTTAAAATCGACATATCCAGTTTGTTAGAAATTGATTTCTTCAAACTTATTCCAAATATATCTGTTTTCTAGGTAATTTTCCATGAAATCACTGCACTTTTTTTTCAAGCTCATATTTATTTTCTGCCTTATGTAGAAGACGTTGTTATATTCCAATGTGAAAATATAACAAAGTCAAAAATCAGGAACGGCAATCCGACCTTTGACCTTGTCCAGGTCTTTTTTTATGGAACTCGAATCAATAGACTTTTGGTGTGTATATATATATTCATGGTTGAGGAATTATACTGATTTAAAATATATGAAAAGAGGAAAAGATATTAAGGTTAATCGCGAAACACCAAAAAAATATCTCTAAAAGCACTAAAAAAAATCACAACAGATCAAAAGATTTTTCCAATTAGATAATGTAACACGTATTTGTATATCATTTAAAATTTGTATAATAACGAACGGTGTCGTGAATAAATCAGTGTTGTTGTAAATATTTGAAATAATCTGCATTATATGACTCTTTTCGTTATAAAAAATACGCAAATCATTTCCCTTTCCGGAAACGCATTACGTGTTGACAGGTTTAAAATAGCATTGTATCAATATACTGTTTTAATCGAAATTTTCGTGGGAAGATCGTTCGATACCCTCAAGGATTAAATGTTTTGGAATAAGTAGGCTACTTTGCAGATATTGGCAAATGGTTTTTATGTTTGTAAGAACTTGTGGAAAGGTCTCAACACAGACATGACAAGTTATACAACGTAATTTAAAGAAATTAATGTACACTGAAGAAGGACATTAACAGTACAGCTGTCGAGCATTCCAAGAATCGCTTACCATTTTAGGTATTTCCCTTTGATCTATTTGTCAACCTATCTATCACATCTTTCATCTGAATGTAATTGCATCAAACATAACTTTTACATTTGTCAAAATGTTTTGATTCCTTTGCTGATTTCGTGTTTCTTTCTGATTCTGCTATTTAAATTTTAAAAGTTGCCCTAAGATGAGTTTCTGTTCATTTCCCTTTTGATGGTAAAGTTCTATTCTTGTTCAATTATGTATTCGTCTTTGACTTTCAAATATAAGGGTTTGGGCGTTTCTCAATGTTGTTCCTAATAATTCTTAATCAAGGAAAGTACTTCGGACAAACGAAACTTATAAAGTGTTATTTTCATTTGATGTTTTCATATCAGATTCTGTATGTATCACAATGTAGAATCTGAGATTGGTGTTCAAATGACCTACTGGCTTTAGTCAAAACAAATTAACTCTCTACCTAAATTTGAACCATTAATTTAATAGAAAAAAAACATCAAGCCCGTTAAGTAGCTTATTGCATTGTTATATCAATTTACATTTATTTATGAAGGACTCGGAGATTCTGCAGTGCTTTGGTCCCGCTGAAGTGCGATGGTCTTCGCCGAAAAGTGATGGTCTTTATGCTGATGTGCAATGTTATGTAGAATCCTGTGTGACGCGTGATGGTAAGAAATCAAATATGCAGATGTGTATTTAAAGGAGGTAGATTTTGAATTACTTAGTTAATAAATTTTTTTTGTATCATTGTCCTTAGAACATTTCGATAGCGATCATATATGCCTGTACCAAGTCATGAATATGACAATTGTTTTCCATTCGTTTGATGTGTTTGAGCTTTTGATTTTGCAATTTTATAAGAAACTTTCCGATTTGAATTTTCCTTGGAGTTCGGTATTTTTGTTATTTTACTTTTTTATGTGTATGTGTATGGTGGAAAATCGTTAAAAGCATTATCATCCTGCAATCAATATAAAAGAGAAGATGTGGTATGATTGCCAATGAGACAACTCTTCACAAGAGACCAAATGACACAGAAATTAACAACTATAGTTGACCGTACGGCCTTCAACAATGAGCAAAGCCCATACCGCATAGTCAGCTATAAACGTCCCCGAAATGACAAATGTAAAACAATTCAAAGGAGAAAACTAACGGCATAATTAATGTACAAAAAAATGAACGAAAAACAAATATGTAACACAGCAACAAACGACAACCACTGAATTACAGGCTCCTGACTTGGGACAGGCACATACATACAGAATGTGGCGGGGTTAAACATGTTAGCGGGATCCCAACCCTCTCCCTAACCTGGGACAGTGGTGTAACAGTTTAACATAAGAAGGAACTATAAAAATCAGTTGAAAAAGGCATAACTCATCAGATGGATACAAATAGAAATACATCTTACAAAAACACAGAGTGGACGTGACCGGGTACTTGTACATCTTAACAACAAAAAGACACTAAGTACAGATCTAAGAGTACTCGCAGTTACTGACAGCTAGTTCAAAGCCTTTTTACCATACAAAATAGGATTATATTAAACCGTACTCTGTTTGAAAGCATCTGTAAGGTCCCCGCTAATGCAAAAGTTTCATCTATATATTTATTGTACATCTGTTTAAATGGTGTACGCGGCATTTGAAATTGAAAAAAAATATTTCATATATGCATGTTCTTAGTTTCAGTTTCAGTCTAAATGAGGGTTAGTCTTATTTATTATTTGCTGCATACTCTTGATGATGTACTTAAAAGCATGAAAATATCATTTTAAAAGCGAATTGACTTCTTCATCGACCTGTAATCATGCAAAACGTAATGAAAATGTAGTTTATGTATCCATTCCACTTCAGCGTTACCACAAACTCACTTTGACGTAGCTATAAACGACATTACTTCACAATGCCGCCACCACAATTCAGCGTGATAAAAACGCACTTCAGCGTCAAGCAATAGCACTTCAGGGAAACGATTGGCGTGTTTTCGCCATTAGTCTCATCATATCGCCAGTGTATGCATGCCACTGAATTATACATATATTTAAAATTCGCGATTTAAATTCTGAGATCTGTTGTTGTAAAGTTAAATTGCTGTCGATTTTAGTTAAAGATTTCATTTTCCATTATTTCATAACAGAGCTACGAATTCCTGTCTGGCATCACCTTCGAAACAAATAAATATCGAAAACCTTTTTCTTGATTGATATTACATGTATATCATCAGGATTCTTTGGACCAAGAAATCCGGTGACGTCACTATTTTACTATGATATCTTATTGTAACTCATAAACCCTGCGCCATAAAGACCAATGATCTTTGAAAAACATAAAAACCAAAGGCTACAGTTTAATTTGCACGAGAAGGTCTCTCAACAAAAGTATATCTTATAGGTTAACATACTTTCCTGATGTGTCACAGTAAAATTAATTATTGGTTAGCTAACCAGCCCCCGCTCCCATATCAAAATGGAACCCTTGAGGACCGTTGGTATAGGAAACACAACCTTATCAAACAGACTCTCTTTTATTTAATTAAATGGTCTTTTGTAAACTCTTCTTGAGGATTTGTTTGTTGTAACTCTTTATAAAAAAGTGAAATACACTGACTCGATATATTACTCGAGTCACGATACGATTATTAAAGCTGTAAATTTTCTCCTTGACAACATGTACATTTCAGCAATACAGTGTATTGATAGGTTGCTGGTATTCCTCTGTGCAAATTGTGTAAATTGATTAGCAAACATGTTCTTGTATTGTTATAAATCACAGTTAATGGCAAAACGCATTTAAGGTCCGTCTAAATTTCATTTATTATATATATTTACTCATATTTTGACTCACATCCAGAAGTTGGTAATAAGAACCAAACTTTATGATATAAGAGATGATTTCAGCTTCCCAGTTATGAACTTTCTATTTCTATGTAGCGCCTACATATGGAGTATATATCTAACAGTTGATGATACGATATTCTAGTATTTGTGTGTCCGATCATGATAGAGGGTAGCTGCTAACAAGGAAGCTATTAATCCAAAAGTTCCAAGTGGTGAAGTTGAAATCATTCTTTCGAATGTTTTACAGACACCATCACGAGTTGGTTGACCGTTATGGAATATCTGTTTAACATATAACCACAATATCGTCCTCCTTTTCTCCGATGTGTCCTATCGAATTAGACTTATCACCGGATTCGTACTTACATGAGGAACACGTCTGGTACCATATGTGAAGCAGGCTCTGCTTACCCTTCCGGAGCACCAGATATCACCCCTGGTTTTTGGGTTTTGTGATGCTCAGTCATTAGTTTGCTATGATGTGTTTAATACACTGGTGTTTGCCTTTTTGGTCTTATCTTTTTTTGCCATGGCATTGTCAGTCTATTTTCAACTTTGAATGCCCCTTAGGTATCTTTCGCCTCTCTTTTACTAATCATTGATCATTTAAAAAAAAACACTTACCACTACCTTGATGATATTTTTACTATATATTTTCTGAATTTACAACGAAAATTTAGCCAAGGGAACTTACTTTAAGTAAATCAACTACAAACAGCAATAACTGTATTTTTCTATATTCAAATATTTCAGTTTCGCACAGAAAGCTATATATTAGATTTTCGATAAAAGAGACGATTTACATAACCCCATTGTTAATTTTCCCTTTTTGGACGGTGATGTTCCTTTGGTCTCATCCTACTATGTCAATATTTCACAACTTGTTCAATATGCCCCTGTTTCAATGACCGTAATTTATGTATAACTGGTACAATGTTAAGTCAGGGATTTCGTTACAACAAATAAATTAAAACTTTTACTAAATTCTTCCATAGATACAAGAATTTGGTTAGAAAATTGGTTTTAACTGTAAAATTTGTATCAAAAATTTGATATCACATGTTCATAGAGCCCATGAATTTAAAAACGATCATTGTAAACTCACGGATCTTTGAAATGAACATATTCTTAAAGGTTTTTGAATTCAAAACCACAGTAAAATCTTAAAATATTTAAGATATCTATTGAGAGATATATGAAGTTATAAGTACTCATGATCCTACATCTTGTTGATACGGATTACTTATATTTTGGCATTGCCAAAGGCCATGCATTTCACAGACTGTTTATGACATCTTTAAACTTAATATGTTAGATGTGTATTGATTGATACTTTAGTCGATAAGAACATCATTTGTCTGTAAGTTGTAATTGGCTTTGAATTTGGAACTAATCCATTTTTTTTTTGAATGACGAATTTTAAATAAAAATAACTAGCATATAACTTACAAAAGTTCCAATCTGACTAAGTTTTCAAATGCGTCCTTTTCTATGTGCCCTATTTCATTTTTATCAAGGTATCTTAAACAAAAATACATGAGCATCATTTTTGTCTAAATAAATCTATTGTTTACTTTGGCAATCTCCTTTGAATTCAAAATCTTGCGTTAACATTAGAATTTTATATGTGCCGCATTAAGGACTTTTTTCTCACCCTAAAATGGCTCGAAAAAATGCAACAGTAGTACCGCTGTTCAATAGTCATAAATCGATTAACCGAAAACAAATCCGGGTTACAAACTAAAACTGAGGGAAACGCATCAATTATAAGAGGAAAACAACGGATTGGTGGGTTTCGTGTTGCTCAGTCTTTAGTTTTCTATGTTGTGTTTTGTATACTGTTGTTTGTCTGTTTGTCTTTTTTTTTCTTTCTTTTTAAGCCATGGTGTTGTCAGTTTATTTTCTAGTTCGAATGAGTTCGAATGTCCCCGTGGTGGGTTTGTGTTGCTCAGTCTTAAGTTTTCTATGTTGTGTTTTGTGTAATGTTGTTTGTCTTTTCGTCGTTTTGCGTTTTTTCCAGTGCATTGTCCGTTAGTTGTGAGTTGGATTATCCATTTTATATTTTCCGACTCTCTTTTATGCAGTACATAACGTTTTGATGCATTGTTTTTCCTGTCTGTAATTAAAATATACCTTGTAACTAAATGTATTCACATACTTATTAAAATCAAATTGTATTGGATTTCATTGATGTGTCTAAGAAATTCATGTGTTAATAATATTTTGTTTTGGTCGTTAAGGGGGTAACGTTACTATGCGAAAATTAATTGAATGTAGTCATCTCGTAAAAATTCAATAGTGATTTTGAAAATCTCTTAGCAAAAGAGAGGCAAAAGATACCAAAGTTATAGTCAAACGCATATGTCGAAGACAAAGTGACAACGATATTACACGAAACGAGGAAAGAAGAATGACACTCCACAAAATCTGTCCGAAGCAGCTGATTTTGCTATTTTTTTGCGAAGGGATTGTCAGTCTTCTTCAGCTCTTTTAGAAGTACTTTTCGTCATTAGTTGTAACGTTTGAATTTAACGAATTCAAATAATGGTTGTTCAGCATTTGAAATATCCATTGTCTTTAGTATTTATATTATGTATTTGACCAGAAGAAATGATAGAATGCACAATTAACTATTTGGAACAAATTTATATCAAATTAATGCAGTTCTCTGATGTAAGCTTATTGTATGTTCACAACCCACTGTTGAATGAAATTAACATTATTACAGAATGTTAACTAATGTCCTTTAAACTATATACTTGCATTTTACAATAATAGTTCCTCTACTGTAAGACAAACGAGTGAGAAGTTCTGAATAAGGATTAGAATCACATGACAAAAACGTCACTGGTTGGTCTTGTGTTGACGAGACGCACGTCTGGCGTATTGAATATTGAGCCTAGTACCTTTTGTTAGCTATTATTCGTGTGTTTCTTTGTCCTATATGTTCTCCCATTTATTTATATTGTGGTCCTGTCATGTGATGTTGTCGTTTTGGTGTTGTGTTTGACGTTGCCATAAAAGCGGGAGGTTTGGCATGCCACAAAACCAGGTTCAACCCACCATTTTTTTCTTAAAATGTCCTGTACCAAGTCAGGAAAATGGCCATTGTCAAATTATAGTTTGTTTCTGTGTGTGTTACATCTTAATGTTGTGTTTTTGTTGTGTCGTTGTTCTCCTCTTATATTTGATGCGTTTCCCTCAGTTTTAGTTTGTAACCCGGATTTGTTTTTATCTCTATCGATTTATGAGTTTCGAACAGCGGTATACTACAATTGTCTTTATTTGCTTTTCAAGGGTAAAGTTCAAACCCATAACAAAATGTAACAGTCCATATTTATTTGCCATATTATAACTTTCTTCTTCAAACAAAATTGCATGTGATCAATTATCACCCTCTTTCCATTACTTTTGATTCTCAGAGTTTCTGGACCTTATGATAAATTGGATGGAATGAAATTTGAGGATTGCGAGATAAAATCGAAAGCTTACTTTTATCTTTTTTGACTCAAAATCAGAGGTATGAAAAAAAACCAAAAGTTTTAATATTTTGAAATGTGACCTTTTCAACTGAAAACAATTCAAATTTTAGCAACAGTTATCAAACGTCCTTATATATCTTTCTTTATTCAGAATCATTCATTTACAAGTATTAGAAATAAGTAGCATTGCTATCTCTTATAAGCGCATTTTTACAGTTTTGGTAAAAAATTATGCTATGCTCTCCTTTACCCTCAAATATTTTAAATAGTTGTCGCCTTAAATGGTACCTAGTTTACCCAATCAAGCATGCAGTTTGACCATAATTCCAAATAAATGCAACTTGTATACGTATTCGGAAATATCACGTTGCTGGTATATTTATACTTACAAGTATTTTAGGTTCTGCAGGTTGTCAAATGTTTTTTCTTTTAAAAATGTAAGTTGGTTTCTACTAAGTTTCCTGTAAACGTTAAATGATTATGTCAACTGTATTAGTTCAAGTAAAAACAGTATAAGTAAACATCTCTATTTTTCCGACTGTATGCTACTGTTGCCTTTATTTATACTGCAATGTAGTATGACATTTCACTATACTTGTTTTATAAAGATGTAAACTATGCTATTCTGGATGAAAGCTTTTTCATGGCACGTATATATACGGTAAACATTTCAATAAAAACCGCAAATATATAAGAAAATAAAAAAGAAGAAAATGCATATAAATCGTTGTATTAAAAATTATTCACATTGTCTACATATATATTTCTCACTTACGTTAGTATTTCACCTATGAGAAATCTGTTACTATATTTAGTAATATACTGATTTCTAGTACTTGAAATTAACATAAGACTATATACTAGTATATATATATAATCTTATATAATCTTATAGGAGTAACACTTGTATCATTAGTTCTATCTTGTGATCAAACTTTATTTTTTCAGTTATTAATGCATAAATTGTGTTTGTTGCGCCAACTGTGTATGACATTTTGCAAGCTTAACATTATCTTAAGCTGTTTAGTAGACTTACAATTCCGTCAAAAACGGTAGATACTGGTATAAAAAAATACCAATCTTGATTTCTGTTAACTTGTTGTCCTCGAGGTGCCTAGAATGACAATACTTAATAAATTGCCGTGGCTTCTAGATTGTTGATTTGTTGATTAGTCCTTAACGCACAGCAATTTATATATCATCCATAATTAGGACAAAGGTGTTAAGAAGATATGAATATTCCTTAAAATAGACCGCCCCTCTGAAACTTTTCAAGTTATGGTTCACGGCAAAAGTCAACATGAAGACAAATAAACATATTTCTTAACACTAGTCTGACTAGGTCCAGATTAGTGTTTGTTCTCACTCCTACATGCCGACTGGTTCTCCACGAAAGAGCACTTACAACTTTTTTTTAAGCTACGTTTTTTTTTGTTTGAACCCGCATTACACCTAGACCGGTCTCAACAGTCCTGTATGTAAGATCACATACTTACGGTTTGGTTGCTTGATAGAAAGTAATTCAAAGAAAAAACTGGCAATAGGTGGAAAATGATAAAGCAAAAACTGGTAAAGTTCGTTACATATAAATAACACAGGCAAAAAAAAAACAGATTTAAGGATGTTCGCTCCTCTTGTTTTTGAATTTTTGCAAGATATTCGGAATCCTCTGGTTTTATCCATGTAGTGCCATTACAAATTTTTGCCCACTAACCCCTACTTTTCTTTTCATAATTTGATTAAATATAGTTTTAAAAACCATCTTTGAAAATCTTATTAAATCCTTGTTATTTTTTCATACTTTTAGGCAGAAAAAAGGGGCCAATGTTAAATGTAAGACAAATCTAGAGAGAATCATTTCCCGCCAAATTTTCAATGGCTTATATCTCGAAAACAAGCACACGGACCCTTCATTTTTATCTGCTTTTTTAGTTCCTTTATTTATATTCTATCAATTTATAACAGTCTTTTAAAAAGCTTATTATTTTGAAACAGAGGAGCAAACATCCTTAAGAAAAACTAATGCATTTATATACTGGTGTATTATTGTCACTATATAGCCCCTAATGTTTCTGTGTTTATGCATCCCTAGCGAATGTATTGTTTTGAGCATTTCTGATGTAGGTTAATCAAGAATGTAATTCGGACGCACGTAAAGATGTGTTTTTCTTTCACTACCACTGGTTTGATACCATTGCATTCGAAATGTTAGGCCCGAGGGTTTCATCAGAAATCTCCAAAGTTTAGTTTATGGTCTATTATTATACCCGAGTTCAAAGACTATATTTATCCTCATCTGCGGTTAAAAAAGGAGCTTTGCAATGGCAAATATTTGGTCTATCGTCTTATCATGCAGCTTTCGAAAGAAGAGCATCAGCTAGTCCGCTCAGGTTAGATGTTCGTGCGGGACAATGATAACATGTAATTATATAAATGTTAACTGGTAATTAAAAAATCCAACACGTTTTATATTTCCTTTTTTTTTTCTTGTTACAAAGTAATTACTACAATGAAAATTATGTTGTTATAGTGGATATAGATATGTTATACCTTAAAACGATTGGCACTAATTGCACTTTTTTTAATGCTTAAGTGAAGAGTAAACATTTAAATGGGATGGATGATATTGCTTTAAACTATGTTTGATCCCGCAATATTTCCATGAACCTTACTTATTTATACAAGAAACATCGTCAGTGGTTGTCTTATGTTTAATATTGGAGTTTTTGTCACAAGGAAACGCTGGTGTTGACGGGAAATCTTTGATATATTACGTCATATCTATTTTCAATTGTTGTATACTATGGGAGATTTATACTTTGAAATTTCGTGTGGACACCTGTCTATAGCAGAAGACTGCACGTTAATCATGCTAACCAAAAGCTGTCTTTTAGATGTTTGTGTCAATTAGGCTGTTGTTTCGTGAGCGTATAATCTTGTAACTTTTCTATATATTGAACAAAACCAATGTCAAGAATGTAAGCAGGATACCAAAGGACCAGAACCTCATCATTATGTCTTATTCAAGATATGCATTTACATTCTTAGCACTAGTTTTAAAATAGTATCAAAGCAATTTGCATGCTGTTTATACGGTATATATCTCCTAGGTGTTGCAATATTTCAAGACTTTTTGTGAGTGAGTTCCTTGAAATGTACCTGCTGTTTACAAAGAAGTGATTGAAACAATAGTTTTCTAATGTAATATTGATGTTAACCCTTCGACAGTTTAATTCGCAAGATCAGGTAATGCGTGTCACAGAAAACCACTTACAAGTTCGACTTTCGAATCCACTATTCAATCTATTATTGTACGAATGCAATAAATGCAACTTGTCATTGAATGTGTAAATACCATATAGACGATACGAGTGCAACTGGTATAGAATTCACTGCTTACCTTTCCAAGTAAACTGAATTTAGCTCTAAATTTGGTTTCCTTTAGATTGAAGTGTTATATTATGTATCATATTTCATATTTTCCTATATCTGTGTTTTTTTCAACCGCTTAAAGTGTTTTTGATCTATTGACATGAACCCGTATTTCAGTTCTAACTTTAAATTTGAATTCAATGAAATCTTACAGTAAGACAAATGATATGTTATAAGAGTTTTTGAGATTTTAACAAAATTATATAACTCTTTAGTAGAATTAAGTTGTAGGCTTCTGATGTATGGGGAAATAATACACACAATTGCATACATTGGATAGACGAATGGTTTTTCGACTGGCAATTCAAATGCATCTTCAGGACGAGAAAACAGGTTGACCTTCCCGACACATTATCCTGACGACTGCTGACCATTCTTTGTTCTCACTTCTAAACGACGCGTACTTTTCGAAGAAGCAGCAAATACCAATGTTTCAGTTTTTGGTTTGATCCGGCCAGGGTTTGAATCAATGATCTCTAGTACTCGAGGCGGGCAGGCAACCAAGAGACCACAGGTGTGGTTCTATTTTAAAAGTATGCGTACCAATGGTTGTGTATTTTTCTTATGCTAAGCAATAGAAGCAATAGTGTGGCTGCCAGAGATCACATGTTTTTTTAACCATGTGATACTCTTTAAAACGTTCAAGTTTTAAGTAATGAAATTAAATCTTAAGTCTTAAATGTCGCAATATCAGTTAATCTTCAAAAGGGTTAATTAATGGGTGATGAGAAGAAAAAGGTCAAAGGAGTATGGAGTGTTACATTAAATTCGTTATAATAAGTGTATTGCAAATGTTCAAATCGTTTTTCATTGGAGTATTTTTAGGACAAAAAATCATCGTATCAGAAAGTATGGAATGGAAACAATTATGTCAATGGTAATTAATTGAGATTGTATGTGTATGTGTTTGGATAGTTGCCAAATTGAAGACGAAAAGCACTTTCTTTCAGTTAGCGTAATATGTAATGTTTATCAGGTCGGGTACACTACCTTATACGAGTATACCTAATTTAGCTCAATACCGTGTGTTCACATAATACTCAATTTTTTAGTGGGTCATTGACCAATCTATCGAATGAGTTGCAATGCATGATGGACTACAAAGTGTTTACAATTTACCGAGAACACGTGTGTTTACTTAACGAATAGCCACTAATATTATGGATAAATAAACAAAGATTTAAAACATTCGTTCACGAGATAGCAACCAAACAACACAAAAACCTTAAAAGGATTAGTTGTACTTGCATAAAAATTTCGAGAACTGGGGTCTCCACAATTATTCATGTATCTCGTAGATTGGAAAAGCGAGTGTCAAATATCCGTAAAATGCACTAACAAATCGTTTATCTTTTGCAAAGAATATGTTATCATTTTATGATTTGTTTTTCTTTTGTTGTAAAGGTTAACAAAATGGCTTTTGTCCAAAAACTTAAGCCAAATGCTGCACACACCCTTAGAGATGATCAGAAAGTGTTTTCTATTGTTACCACATGATCTGAACATTGCACTATCGTTGATTTATTGTAAACACGTAATGGGTTGTCATTGTATATTCGTGTATGATAATATACTATCATTCATTCATCCTCAATTTTATTTTATTTTCTTCACGTGGAATCACAACATGATTACAAAATGTCACTTTGAGATGAATAACAAAAAAGCGCAGCTCCTTTTATTTTTTTTTTTTTATTTATTTTTTTTTGTTTTTGTTTTTGGCGCGTAGTGATTTTGTGTAAACGTATACGGGTATATGATGTCATGTAATATGGTTTGAACTGCGGATAGTAATTAAAGGAGATGTGACGTATATGTCATCGAAAAAGCAACCAAAAAAAAAAGACAACTAAGGGGTAGCATAACGGCTTCAACAATAGACATATTGTTTTTCATATAATAACAAATTAATGAGAATATTTTGAAATGCCGGTTGATAATTTAAATGTAATTACATTTATAGATATAGCCAAATAGTCAACGCAAGCAGAACATATAAAATATGTATATGTCTACTAAACCTTGGCGCTTTGCAGCAAATAAGGATTGATATCAAGAAAGATTTCTACGCCGTTTCTGTGCTTTATGAAAGAGCAATGTGTATAAAAATACATAATGAAACATGATAGGAAAATTCCTAAAACATAAAATATCATGTAATCTATTTCTTAATATTTTAACTAGTTTTGAAGAGCGCAGAGAACTTTAACTGAACAGCAGACACTTCGTTAAAATGAATGCATACATACAGTGCATAACAATAGATAAAACTTTTTCTTTACTACTTTCACAAGAAAAAAAAAGTCAAATGCTGAGGCGGGTGTACAACATTTTTAAAAACTGAGGATGCAAATTGAAGATTATGTTATATACACTACATGTATCAAGATGAACATATATATTAAACAACAGATCCAACGATGCAATACACAAAGACACTTTTTAACTATATTCCTCGTGTTCTTAGGTGATAATAAACTCGTAGTAGTATCGTGGTTCATTGTGTCAATTGTTCAATTTCTCAAGAACATGTTAACATATTGTAGTTGGAAAATTACTATGCAAGTGTAGTTTGATGACAGAATTTTAGTGGTCTCGGCCTGTTTATGATATGTTCAAAAGAAGAAAACATGCTATAAGCTAGAACATTTCTTAAATCTTACTCATTTCACATCTTAACAAATGTTTTATCAGTCACCTTCGACTGGCAGTCTTTTGCAAAATGTAAGGTTCTTAAATTATTGTGTATTTTATGTAGTTTAATAAATGTCGACATAATGATAACATACATTTTATTTTTGCAGTCATGGAAACCCTGCAGTTGTCTTTTTTTAATCGATTTACCACATTTTGAACATAGGTAGACTACTGTTGCCTTAATCTATATGTTGATTTACCGACAGGTATTATGTTATTATTTTAGATGATAAAACTATATTTTGAATTTCGGAGTTTTGTTTCGGAAGAAAATTATCAACATACCGAATCCAAATAATGTTTCAGGCAACCTAACAATGATGTGAATTAAGACGATGTCAACTCACATGATATAAATGTCTTTCACTTCGCGGAAAGCTCCTATTTCTAACATCTCTATGCTGCATAATTGCAAAGACCTGCAAGTATTAGTTTTAAAACAGTTAATATTATTTATCGATCTCATTATCTCGAAAACAATTAATTTGTATATTCTGTTTTTCTTTTATCGTTCATTGGCAATGCTTTTTAATAGAAAAATAATTTGTTCAATGTTAAAATCTACTCTTTTAAATAAAATTTAAAGCCAAAACATTAGCTAAGATTTCAAACAACAACGCCCATCAATGTCCTAAAAGGAAAAATAACATTTGTCTCAATTTAACAATATTGATATAAAATAGGGCTATGTGGTAGAATTGCCAATTAGCCACAACTGTCCACCCATGTCAAATTACGTTGATTTTTTAAACAACTATATGTCATCTTAAGGCATAAAAGATTGAACAAAATCGATTTCAAAAGTCGTCATTAATAGGACAAAATATGAAACGATTCAAACAAGTTGTTTTAATTTATCACAAATAAAATTAATGCACGACCCGATAAAACAATTTTCGGTACGCCTATTCAAGATTTATTTTGTATTGTTTTCCTTTAATTGTACCCATTGGTTTCTAGAGAAACACTGACAACGCAAATTTTTCGTATGCTTCTTTGTTGAACTATGGTCTATTAAGGTGGCCTGGGTTGTTGGCGATAAGCAAAAGTGAGAGTTAAATAAACTCATCATAGATACCAGGATTGAAATTTTGTATTTGTGCCAGACGCGCGTTACGTCTACAAAAGACTCATCAATGACGCTCGAATCAAAAAAGTTAAAAAAGCCAAATAAAATACGAAGTTGAAGAGCATAGAAGACCATAAATGTCAAAAAGTTTTGCCAAATACAGCTAAGGTATTCTATTCCTGAGGTAGAAAAGCCTAAGTATTTCGAAAATTCAAAGTTTTGTTAACAGTTACTTGATAATTATGACCATATGAATGATAATTCATGTCAACACAGAAGTGCTGACTTCTGGGCTGGTAAATTAAGTCATTCTTCTTTTGATTTAGATAATAAAATATTGTACATTACACTTGTTTCTTATTTAATATCGCTGTTTACCTATATAATTATCTAGTTTTTTTGTGCTGTAGGTTTTATGTCAAATTTCCGCACGTTCATGTTCCATGTATACATTTAAATATGTCAAATTTATGCATGTCCATAGAAATGTTATCCATGTAATAAAACATTAATCCCAAGAATTTTATTAGAGCGTTCTTTCATCATGCAAATCTTACAAATATGTCTCCAAACTATTTGATATGATATATTAGTCACAGACCGTTGTATTTGTGCTGTCTGATCTCAGCTTAAAGGACATTTTCTGTTTGGACAACCGATTTAATATTTCATAGTTTCAATTTGGGTAAGCGGTTTCTCATATTCTTTTACATAAATATCCTAAGGATCTCTAATCAATCAATATTCGCTGTGTCTTGGTTGCGATGTTGAAATTACGAATGAAATGTATAATTGGCCTTCATGATTTGTCGAAATTTTTTAAACACAACTAAAATTTCCTGTATGTTGAATAGAATTTGAATGATGGATTCTGAAAATCATAATTATTGTTGAATACAAATTCAATAACTGAGCATAAAAGGCAAACGGAAAGTGATGAATAATGAACTCCTTTTATTATCTGTGCTAAAAATGGTTTAAAAAAAGAGAATTTGCAACGATGAGACCCAAATGTCATTGACACGACGAGTTTTTGACCATTGATATATATTTCTTGGAATTAATTTAATTGTTCTTATAAACAAGTGTATACAACAACTACTTAATTGGAGTAAGTTTTAGTCAAAATCTCAAAATATACGTTTTTGTTCAAGGATTTATAATGTAAGTAGTTAATTTTAAATATGTAACTTACATCTTATTTACTGTATAATAACCTGCAAAGGTTTCTTGTTTCACTGTTTTAAAACTATTGTTCTGCAGACTTCTGAGTTTTTAAAAGAGAAGAAAGTCAGGAATATATAAAGAATACGAAACTTTCACAATAAGCTATTTCTAAATCTGCAACGCCAATATACTCAGCTTCACCGTGTACGACAGACTGGTTTATGTTTTTTGTGTACAGTTGTTTTTTAATGTATTATCTGTCCGGACATTTTTCTATTGATATTTGTTGCTGAAAATCATATTTGTTTTTCGTTCACTGTTTTGTACATATATCAAGCAGTTATTTTTCTCGTTTGAATTGTTTTACATTTCTGGACCTTCAATAATTGACTGTGCGGTTTAAAATTTGCTCTTTGTTGAAGGCAGTATGGTTACATATAGTTGTTAACTTCTATGATATTTTGTCTCTGGTGCAGAGTTGTCATATTAGCAATCATACCACATCTTCTTATTTTTATATATAAGCTTTATGAGTCAATGGAAATATACAAAATGTGCAAACACATATGTTTTAAACGTACGACGACTCTTCTTACATTTCTTGAAGTGTTTTCTGTTCTCCAAATATTCCTCCGTCAATACCATCAATATTATTTCCATCAAGATATCTTAAATATAATAAATATATTATATATTTGAAACAAAAATAAACAAGAAATATTTTTTTAACAACGAACTTGTACTTGTAAATGTCCAATTACCGTCAAATAAAATTGCATGCCACGAACAAAATTTCTTGCTTGCAACAATAAATTATCTAGCGAGTAAAGATTAAACATGCACTAAACAACTAAATATTCATATGAATAAAAAGTCCACAACGCAGAAATTTGACAGATCATTTCTTTTGTAGTCTAATTTCGTTCCCATCTTAGAAAAGTTAAATTTCAAATAATTCTCATAACTAAATTTGTTTCCAAGTTGCTTCAACTGTATCGTACATTGACGAAGGGTGTAAAACTGTAACATGTATAAACTAGACACTGAAAATTTTATTTGTGTCTGTCTGCATTAGGAACTAAACTATGTAATTTACCTGTAAAAAATGAAATGTTGCAGCTACGTTAACTTATAATATTTATCTAAATGTTGATATAAAAATTCTAGCAACTCGCAATCAATCTAGTTATAATAAGACTTTCTAAATATTTTAAATGTTAGGGGTATCAAGAAAGACATTACTGTGTAGGTGTCACACCATCAATTCAAACAATCAGCATCACTTTTAATATTGCCACAGCCACATGTAACACATAAATTTGCATAATTGAAACTAAAAGATATATATGTATTTAGACTAGATGTATTCCAAATTTACTTGGCAATGATTTTGCATCAAAATTCATGATAGACGTGCCACATAATATTCTCATTTAAGGCATTCAAAAAACCAGATTGCTTTCTTAGAAGATAATCTGTAAAGCATTGATTAAAAATTCACATATTAAAAAGTAAAATCACAAAAATACTGAACTCCGAGGAAAATTCAAAAAGGAAAGTCTCCAATCAAATGGCAAAATCAAAAGTTCAAACACATCAAACGAATGGATAACAACTTTCATATTCCTGACTTGGTACAGGCATTTTCTTATGTAGAAAATGGTGGATTGAACCTGGTTTTATAGCTAGCTAAACCTCTCACTAAAAGATAATTCATGTATAATTAGGATATATATTGTTACAATAAAGTTCTGTTTAGGTACAGGTCAATGTAAGAATCAGACAACAAATCAAATAAAAGTCCATTAACACGAAATATAATGAAAATTCGGGGAACTTGGTAAATCAGTAATAAAGATGACAAAACCTAAACATTTTGGACGATTTTGACAAATGAAAATTGAATTTATCTAAATTTTCTAATTGCTTTTTTTTGTCATCTGAACCGATTTATTTTCTCGGTTATTGTATTGTTTGCCTCAAGCCCTCTGTTATCGACCTTGCAGCGAAATCATGGAGGTTTTTTCATTTCATTTTCATACTAGAAAAGAACGAGGTTTCTAACTGGAAAAGTCGCGTTAATAAATTGCTTGTCAGCATTAATTGATCGGAAGTATTAAAATTGAGAATGAATATGGGGGATGTGTCAAAGAGACAACAACCCGATCAAAGAGCAGAAAACAGCCCAATGCTACCAATGTGTCTTCACACAATGGTATTGTCTATTTTACGAAGTAAATTAAAAAAGGAAACCCCTAACACTTTATCCAAACAAGAAGTAAAATCGTTTTTATTTCCTCCACATTCCCGTACTTTGTATGCTAATTTGTTCATTTGGTTTTCTAACAGTGTGAAGACCTCATACCTGCAACAAGTATCTAATATATGGTGACATGAAAAAACACACACAAATGGTATGCATAAATGTGAAAAAAACAAGCGCTAGATTGAGATAACTTAAAACAAGTCTGTAATGATGAATTTGAATTGCTTACTATTAATTGTATTTGGATTTGTTTATCATGAATAAAATCCATTTATGTAGATATGTGCACTTTAAGACTTAGAACTTCACTAAAATCTACCTACAGATGAAGAAGGAGTATTGCTCATTACAAAGCTTTTTAGACTAATAGATTGATGTATTAGGGAAAGAACATAGTCAAATAGGCGTAGGTACAAGAAGATTCCTACAGTTCCGCTTAACACAGACACACACACACACACACACATATATATCTTACATAGATATCTGAGTTTTAAGTTCTGTTGTGATTTTTTCATTTATCGACTTAACTTTGAACACGGTGGTTATACTTTGCTTGGTTGAAAGAAGGAAAAGGTATAGAGGAGGCAGTCTCAAACCATAGCTGGAAAAACACAGATTATTAGCGAATAGGTAGGATATACAAACAATAGTCCTCAAAATAGTGATGGGAGTTGCTCAGGAAGGGTATCTTCCACAATAATAATTCATATTCTAGTAATAGGTCATGTTTTTAAAACAAAATTATTAGTACGTAACATTGTGCCTACATTAAAGAATAAAATTAGTCGGATTTGTGATTGAAAAGCGCGTGTTGCAAACAGTATTCAATCGAATATTTAATGAAAAAAAACTTCTAAACATGTTTATTCCTTAAAACACTTTTATTAACCCTTTTTGAAATATGGTACATTACTTTCGCCTAATATTGACAACAATCAATGTTAAAGCAAAATGATCACTATTTGCAGATGGTGGTATTTAGGGCAATTGCAAAATCTTCATTAGAAGGCTGCTTCCTGACGAATATTGAATGTATTGTAACTTATACTCATGGAAAAAAATCCCTTAACCTATTGATGATATCATTATTTATTTTTGACAAATAAATATGGGTAACTCAAGAAATGTTTTTCGGTAAATTTTGCGCAATAAACATTTTCATTTGCATTTGATTTGGAATTATGGTATTCTGTTCTATTAGGTTCATATGATTTTAAGACTACAATATAAGATTTGAACCAGTAAAAGGGCATTTAGTTTAATTCCTGCAAATTTTAAGAATTTTCATTCTTATTCTTTGACCTTGAGTTCACGAAAGTTGTACCGTACGGATTTTTTAACAATAAATAAGTTTAATTCTACATAAAATTTAGATTTGAGATTCGGAAACAAGTTTATAAATCAGTCTCCCGAATCTCTACGAGTTATTGAGGATAGGGCAAAAGAGAAAGCACAGATAAAAAGCTTTTGATTGATATAAGATATAAGTTAGGTGGGTGCATTCAAGTTGTCTTTTTGAAAAAGGTTACTCTCCAATAATAAACTCATAATAATGTGATTTCATCAGTTAATGCTTAGACTAACTTACAAAATTAGTCCTGTAGACATATCTATAAAAGCGTTATTTTCAATCACAGATATGTTGTTGTATTCCAGATGTCTGTTGAAAAAAGTAATAAAATAATTTACATATGATGTTTACTATTATGGAAATATGTATATGATATATTCACACCTAGCTCATGTAAGCTACATTCGCTTGAAAACCTGTTACTCATTTGAATACTTTCAAAACTTGAATAAGTATGCATGGACTTTCATTTCCGAAAGCAGTTATATTATGGAAGGCTTTTATTCTAGATGTGTAAGCAATCTTTGTTTTTGCATGTTATTTTGTAATATAATTTTTTTGTTTTAAATGATATTCTTAAATTTAATCCTTAATGCAATTTCGACATCAAACCGAACTACTCCCGTCAAAATTAATGAAACTAGCGTGAATATCCATTTTTTTTTAAATCGTCGATGCTTATCATATCTGATCGACAGTTTTCCATTAACTTAGATCTTTTCGGATTTTTTTTTTACGGAGATGTTGTTTACCGGGCCGGAAATTTAGTTACGATCCAGGTAACTTATCGATCCTTTAAATACACTTATTATAAAAGGTAACCTATTCAACACTGTTATTAGATCATTTAATATTGTTTTTATTGGTACAATGATTAATATTCATTTTGTTATCAGTAAATTAAAATCAAACTAAATATTATTTTCATATACATATGCACATTCATGGCTCTACAATCTGTTGATACATGTATCTTGGCAGTGCACAAGGTCATGTTCTTCTCTGACTAAATCCATTGGATGTTGGATGTGTATTGATTGATATTTTTGTGCATGATTTTGTTATTAGTTGTTATTGACTTTGAACTAGCTGTCAGTAATTGCAAGTACTCTCAGATCTGTACTTAGTGTCTTTCTTTTGGGGGATTAGAATACCCTGCCACGTCCGGTCTGTGTTTTTGTTGTATGTCTTTCTACGTTATATTGGTCTGCTAAGTTAAGAACTTTTCAACTGATTTATAGTTTTTTCTTATGTTGAACTGTAACACCACTTTCCTAGGTTAGGGGAAGGCTTTGGCGTCAACAAACTGGTTTAACTCCGCAACATTATGTATGTGGCTGTCACAAGTCAGGAGCCTGTAATTTGTTAGTTGTTGTTTTTGTTGCTGTGTATCATATTTATTTTTCGTTCATTGTTTTGAAGGGCTTTACGTTTGTTATTTCGGAGTCTTTTATAGCTGACTGTTCGTCTCATTAGCAATCATACCACATCTTCTTATTTTTATCAATTTATTATACTTTCCTCTTTTCCTTAATGAAAATAATGATTGCTGGAGAAAATTGAATCTTAGACTTCAGAACAAATTAATTAGAATAATTAGTTATCAAAGGTACACTTATATAACAATCACTGCTTACAATGATTCAAAATAATTTTTAAACAGAACAAACACACTGACATGCTATTAAGGTTAGAGTTAATAATATATTGTACAAATTAATACATACAGTTTTCCAAGCGATGGTAGATCTTTGAACGATCCCTGCTGTATTGTAGTGATTTGATTGTTCTGCAAGTGTCTGAAACAAAAGATTTTTTTTATTGTAGAACAGTGGTCAATATTCATTTGCGAATTAATCAAAACGGGTACACTGAAACTGTTATTCGTGTGTTGTTTTATACCCGTATTTTCCTTCTTCTTGTTTAATTTACTTAATTGTGTTCTCCTCCCTCCAATTAAGAAAATAAAGTTGTAGTTCAATCATTTCTGATTGAACAGTTTATGATTATAATGCAAATTTAAAAGATATGAACTTTTACGGTAACCGTTACCTATTTGTCTCTTATTCGCAGATAGAAAATAAAAAGATGTTACTGATATATAAATCATTACAGACATGTATGTTAAACATACCATGCTGTTAATTTTTTTAATTCATAAGAATATTTGAATCAAGGACAACTAAATATAAAAAAAAGGATAATTATAATGATATCTTGAATAATCCAAACTTTTCTGATTTGATTCCATTGATATATCCCTCAGAACTTTGAGATTAAAGAAACAACAGACACGGTTTCCTCCGCCTCATTTTTAGACTTATACCTCGAGTTTGACATACGCGGTCATCTCAGTACCAGAATCTATGACAAACGAGACGATTTTAATTTTGAAATTATCAATTTCCCCCACCTTAGTAGCAATATATCAACTTCACCTGCAAATGGGATACACATTTCCCAACTTATTCGGCATTCAAGAGCTTGCAGCTCCTACTCAGACTTTGTAAAACGTCACCAGTGTCTGAGCAGAAAGTTGAAGAACCAGGGGTATGTCAAAGAACGTCTCGTCCTTTTTCTAAAAAAGTTCATCGGAAGGTATCAAGAACTTGTTGATAAATATTCCGTATCAACTTCACAAATGATACACGATGGTCTTGAAGTATAGATTATAGGTACTGACGTTGTTTATCATCTTAATAACGTGTTATAGTATTCTTTTATTTGTCTTTGTGAATATTAATTTTACTGTTTATTCTGTTTTTGGTGATATCCATTTGACATGGCTCTGTACTTATACATCCTGTCATTGTGCTATTGTGCTATGGTAAATTTTTGTATTCTTGCCTTTCATTTTTTGCTAATGTACTTTATCTATATGCCTTTTTTGTGTTTCTTTGTTACATATGACGTGGCTCTGTACTTATACATCCTGTCATTGTGTTATTGTGCTATGGTAAATTTTTGTATTCTTGCCTTTCATTTTTTGCTAATGTACTTTATCTATATGCCTTTTTTGTCTTTCTTTGTTACATATGACGTGGCTCTGTACTTATACATCCTGTCATTGTGTTATTGTGCTATGGTAGATTTTTGTATTCTTGTCTTTCGTTTTTATTAATTTGCTTTGTCTATATGCCTTTTTGTGTTTCTTTGTTACATATTTGTTTGTTTTTATAGTGATTAAGATTTTAACACAATGTTGACTGCTGTACCCTTATTTTTGACATTTTCACCTATTATGTCTGTTTGTTTTGTTCACTCATCGTTGTCAATATAATGGAATTTTATGCGACTGTCATACGGGGCAGAGGTTAAGCTGGCAGTAAGGCTGGGTTTAGTCCACCGTTTTTCTTTATTGGGAGGTGCCTGTGCCGGGTCGGGAGTGTGACGGTTGTTGTCTATTCGTTTGATGTGTTTGGGCTTTCGGTTTTGTCGTTTGATTGGGGACTTTCCGTTTTGAATTTTCCTCAAAGTTCGGTATCTTTTGTGATTTTACTTCTTTTTAAAACATTTGATTTATTACAAGAAATATAAATAAAAACAATCGATCAATTTAACAGCAATTACAAACACGCCGGACGTGATATTCAGTTAATAAAAAAACCTATCCAAATATATACATGCAGATATTTGATTGTTTGCCAAATTTCTGAATCAAGTAAAAGTCTTTTAAATCATATAACTGTTTGAAACTTTTAAGGATTAATAACAATGCTTCTTTCGTATAGAAGAGGGGCGAAAGATATTAGAGGGACAGTCAAACTCAAAGATCGAAAACAAACCGACAACGCCATGACTAAAAAATAAAAAGACAAACAGACAAATAATAGTACACAAGACACAACATAGAAAACTAAAGACTAAGCAACACGAACCCCACAAAAAACTTGGGGTGATCTCAGGTGCTCCGGAAGGATTAGCAGATCCTGCTCCACATGTGGCACCCGTCGTGTTGCGTATGTTATTACAAATCCGGTTAATAGTCTAATTCGGTAAGTCACATTCGTGGTGAAAATGGAAGTCGATTGTAATTACGACATAAGGAACATATCCGATATCATCTGTGAAACGGTTATTCCATAACGGTCAACCAACTCGTGATGGCGTCCGTAAAATTTACGAAGGGATGATTTCAACTTCACCATTTGGAACTCTTGGTTTAATAGCTTCCTTGTGAGCAGCAACCCTCTATCAAGGAAATCATGATAGGAAATACAAGACCGGGAATATCGTATCAATTGGGAGATATATACTCCGTATGCAGGCGCTGCTCGAATGTTGCTACATAGAAATGGAAAGTTCACAATTGGGAAGCTGAAATCATCTCTTTTGTCGTAAAGTTTTGTTATCAACCGACCCTCATTGTCAATTTCTAGATGTAAGTCAAGATATGAGGCAGACCTAACTGTATCTGTTGTATCCTTTACTCATCTATATAGCGGAAAGTAAATTTAAAGGATATAGCTATCTTCTTATCTTTCTTTCTAACAAGTTCCTGTATGAAGTCAGCCTCATAATAATAAAGAAACAAGTCGGCAAGAAGAGGGGCACAATTGGTTTCCATTAGAATGCCGACAGTCTCAAATATGTTGTCAATCAAGAAATCAAGCATCTTGATAATGTCAGTTTAAGAGAATTTTTTGTTCGAATCAGAGTAATTCTTTACAAAGTAGGATTTATCCCTCTCCAAGACAAGATACTTGTTTCTACGTTCGCCATTCTTTTTTATGAAACAAAGCAATACCAACTCTTTCAATTTGTCTTTTAGTTTGGAATGGGAAATAATTGTGTAAAGTGTAGAAAAGCCAAATGTTTTAATACTATTGCAAGATGAGAGCGTCTTAGATTGTATGTACTCTAAAAGATCTTTGGATTGTTTTAGTATTCACATCTGATTCACGCCACCTCTAAAATAGGCAGTTTCACAATAACTTTGAAGCCCAGCTTTGATTGCTGATAAAATAGATGTTAATAATTTAGAAAGAGGTTTCATGGAGCACTTGGAAGACCCAGCAATATACCGTTGTTTATAAGGACACGTATGTAGTTTAGGTATCCAATACAGTGATTGAAGATCAAGTTCTTCATCTTTGGTTGAAATTCCAAAGGAACATAGAACAGACTTATGATTATCCAGAATTTCCTCTTTGGTAAGTGTCGTGAGGGTATATGTTGAGTTTCCAAGTTAATTGTCAATACCTAATTCATTTATCATTCTTTTTTGTAATGAGATTTACACACAAAAACGATGTTGTTTGGGGCTTTATCTGCGGGGACAACAACATATTTGTCATGGAGGTAGGACAAGTGTTTTGCAACATTTTGGGTCTTTAAAGATTGACGTAGCATAGGTATTGATAGACCCATTTAGTTTCTTAATTCTGATTTGTATCAACGACCTCACAGCCTTAATTCATTCGGAAAGAGTATCTACGTCTTCTTTCTCGCGTTTAGCCCATTGCCTGGCATAATCCTCGACCGAATCCATCAGTATTTTGAAGTTGTATTTCCAATTGATGGATTTAGGCTCACGATATTTCATAGATCTTAACCTTGAATAGTATGTTAATTTACCAAAACTTGTATCCTCCTATTCTGCAATTGATAACTATCAATGTTTAGGATCTAATCAATCGGGAAGCTTCAAACTTCTTTGATGAAACAAAAACAATAATAACATTAACGGGACCAATTTTTCTGCACCACATGCACATTTCAACAATAAACGACTCTTCAGTGATGCTGCTTGGAGCCAAACTATTTGAAAATCCAAAGTATTTAAGATCAAGAGCTAGTACTCTTTTTTCCATTGGTGTAACAGCACAACATAGGAAAACTATAAAATTCAGTTGAAAAAGCTTAACTGGTAAAATCGATACAAAGAAAATCATCAAACAAAAACACAAACAGGAGGTGGCTTGTCCATTCCTCGTCCCTAACAACAACAAGACATTAAGTACAGATCTGAGAAAACTCACAGTTAATGGCTGCTAGTTCAAAGCCTATAACAACTAACAAAAAAAATCATGTATCTTAGACCAAAATATCAATAAACATCCAACATCCAATGGATTTAGTGTAAAGACGACATTAACAGTCAAAGAAAAACATGACTTTGTGCAATGCCAAAATATAGGTATCGACAGATTGTGTTTACCTCAACAAATGTAGGGCAAATTTTCCACGGTTATCCTTCACCATCCGAGACAAACAATTTGAACTATGAAGAAACTGTTTTTAGTTTCGATATTAAAGTGTTAGGATAACTGAGGAACATTTCAATTTGACCAGTTATGTTTTTTAAGCGATCCACAATGTCATCGGAAGCAGTTCGGATACAAGGTTATCAACTGAATAAAATAATAATTAAACAAGAAGCACACTTCTACCTCATTTAGTGTTTGGTTTAGTTGAAATGTCAATTTTATGAATTATTTTAATATATTCTCAAAATGTTATAAAAAAAACAACACTAACAGCACGTTATCAAATATATCGAAAGAAAACCAACTAAGGTAAAGGAGTGGGTTCGATAAGGCTCTAAAATGGCCCCTTTTTCTAGCTTTATTTTTCAAATTAGGATATATTGACCAATATCACAATGAATCAAAGCTAAAATCAATGTTAAACAATTACGTACTTGCGATCTATTTATTGCGTCACAAAAAGGGCTGAATTTCCATAATTCTTTTGGACAGGAAACAAAGAATGCATGTGCGACAAAAAACATGATATTTGTTATAACATTCTAAACTTCTTACTTATATTTTGTTTGTCGATGCCTGTGCTTTATGTTTCCTATATCGTCATTTTGTTAAAATACGGATTCTTGTGTGTTTTTGGTAAGAAAAAGGATTTGTACTATGAAGCCATCGTTTAAGTTGGATCAGCCCGTGTCGTTATCCAATCCTGATTCGATTACTGAATAAAAGAACAATATATTCTTAGTCCCTTTGATATCATTCTCCTCTCTTTTGAAAAAGCACACAAGAATCCGACAAACGAGCTAGTCATTGGGTTGACCTTCCAGATCAAGCAAAAATCACAAAAATATTATATTGGAGGACTTTTTTTAATTCTTGTCACAAGAAATGAAACAAAAATCAACAGTTCAGTATTGAGGATAGCGTGAACAACCATCTTTAAATGGATATTTTTCATGTTTTGTATAATAGTAATATTTCTTAAAATAAGATCATTTAGAATTTCTTTAGTTTGGTTTAAGTACAATACAACTGTACTTTAATTTGTACAAAAATGATAAAAAAAAAATTAAGTAATTTTCAACAAACTGCTGTTAATCTTAAATATGATATTCCCAGGCTTGTGTTTCCGATCATGATTTCCTTGATAGAGGATTGCTGCTCACAGGGAAGCTATTAAACCAAGAGTTCCAAATGGTGAAGTTGAAGTCATCCCTTCGTAAATTTTACGGACGCCATCACGAGTTGGTTGACCGTTATGGAATAACCGTTTCACAGATGATATCGGATATGTTCCTTATATCGTAACTACAATACCCTTCTTTTTTCACGAATGTGACTTACCGAATTAGACTATTTACCGGATTTGTAATAACATAAGCAACTCGACGGGTGCCACATGTGGAGCAGGATCTGCTTACCCTTCCGGAGCACCTGAGATCACCCCCAGTTTTTGGTGGGGTTCGCGTTGCTTAGTCTTTAGTTTTCTATGTTGTGTCATCTGTACTATTATTTGTCTGATTGTCTTTTTATTTTTGGCCATGACGTTGTCATTTTGTTTTCGATCTATGAGTTTGACTGTCCCTCTGGTATCTTTCGTCCCTCTTTTAAAGATGTTCCCTTTATATACTTTTTTTTTTCTTTTCTGTCATAGAATAGCGTGTATATATATTTGTTTTGATATAAAAAAAAAAACTCAACGGACATAATATCTAATCTTTTTGTTATAGTTATTTGTACAAAATTATACATACAGAGTGTAGAGATATGTTAATCCTTGAAACGATCCGTTTTGTATTGTAGTAATTTGATTGTTCTCCAAATACCTGGGAAAAAAATAAATCTCTTTATAGTATAAATATAGGCAACATTTTAAGAATATGTGTATTGCTATGTTCCCTTCATAAGGCGTTTTGACCTAAGCTTGTATTAATCTATTGTATTTAAGTCTCTACATTACAAGTCTTGTTTTTTCGGCTTTTTTGTATGTTTTCCTCTCATATTACTGTAAACTTATGTGTTTTTACATTTTTTTTTTCATATTTATATATTTTCTTTGATATCAAATAAAACGTTTGGTGTAGAATTTGAAACTAAAGATTCTCAAAATATCCTTTTAATATAAGAAACCGACATTTTAAGTGTGACTGTCCCAAGTCAAGAGCCTGTGAATCATCGGTTGGAGGTTTCTTTCCTTAAGACAATGTACGATTGTCAACTTTCAGTAAAACTAATATTGAAAAGTAAGTTATAAAAATCCCCTTCATGACCAAATGTGAACTAATTCAGACAAGAATGTACCACGTGCGCATTTCGACAATAACTGACTATTCAGTGATGCTGCTCGAGGCTTACTTATTTGAAAATCCAAAGTATTTAAAAAGATGAAAGCTAGTACTTTCTTTTACGGGTGACAAAAATAACCAAAATACGAGTTTGTGATTAATTTACAATAATTCATTTGTTATAAAAATAAGGAGACGTTGTATGGTTACCAATGAGACAACTATCCACCAATGTTCAAATAAAGTGAATGTAAGCAATTAAAGGCAACTGTACGGCCTTCAACAATGAAAAAACCCATACCGTATAGTCGGCTATAAGAGGCCCCGACATGAAAAATATGAAACATTTCAATTGAAAAAACTAAGGGCCTTATTTATAACAAAACAATTGACGAAAAACAAATATGACAGACTTGAACCAACGACAACCACTGAACTACATGCTCCTGACTTTAGACAGGCACATAAAGAATGTGGCGGGGTTAAAAATATTTGTGAGGGCTCCACACTCCCCTAACTTTGGAAAGTGGTGTAACAGCACAACATCAGAACAAACTATAAAAATCAGTTGAAAAAGGCTTAACTCGTCAGATCGATACAAAGAGAGTCATCAAACAAAAACACAAGTAGGAGGTGACAGGGTATATGTCCATCCCTCATCCTTAACAGCAAAAAAAGACACTAAGTACAGAACTGAGAAAACTCGCAGTCACTGGCAGCTAGATCAAAACCAATAACAACTAATAAAAAAAATCATGTATCTAAGACCAAAGTATCAATCAGTACACAACCAACATCCAATGTATTTAGGGTTAAGCCGACATTAACAGTCAGACAAAAACGTCAAAATATAGGTATCGACAGATTGTGTTTACCTCAACAAATGTAGAGCAAATTTTCCACGGTTATGCTTCACCATTCGAGACAAATAATTTAAACTATAAAGAAACTGTTTTTAGTTTCGATATTAAAGTATTATGATGACTGTGGAACATTTCAATTTTACCAATTAAGTTTTTTTAAGCGATCCACAATGTTGTCGGAAGCAGTTCTGATGCAAGGATATCACCTCAATGAAATAATAGATAAAAGAAGAAGCACAACTCTACCTCATTTAGTGTTTGGTTTAAGTTGAAATGTAAATTTTATAAATTATTTTAATAAATTCTCAAAATGTTATAAATAAAACAACACTAACAGCTCGTTATCAAATATATCGAAAGAAAACCAACTCAGGTAAAGGAGTGGGTTCGATAAGGCCCTAAATGGCCCCTTTTTCTAGCTTCATTTTTCAAATTAGGATATATTGACCAATATCACAATGAATCAAAGCTAAAACAATGTTAAAAAATTACGTACTTGCGTTCTATTTATTGCGTCACAAATAAAGCTGATTTTTTTTTTTATGAAAACTAAATGAAAACTAGTAAATTTCCATTATTTTTTGGGACATGAAACAAAGAACGCATGTGCGACAAAAAAATGTGTTTAGCATGATATTTGTTATAACATTCTACACATTTTACATATACTTTGTTTGTCGACGCCTCTGCTCTTTGTTTCCTACATCGTAATTTTTTTAAAATACGGACTCTTGTGTGTTTTAGGTAAGAAAAAGGATTTGTATTTTGAAACCTGCGTTAAAGTTGGATCAACCCGTTTTGTTATCCAATCCTGATTCGATTACTGAATAAAAGAAAAATATATTCTTAGTCCCTTTGATATCCTTCGCCTCTCTTTTATAAAAACACACGAGAATCCAAGTAACGAGCTAGTCCTTGGGTTGGCCTTCCAGATCAGGTAAAAATCACAAACATATTATATTGGCGGACTTTTTTTTAATTCTTGTCACAAGAAATGTAACAAAAATCAACAGTTCAGTATTGAGAATAGCGTGAACAACCATCTTTGAATGGGTATTTTTCATGTTTTGTATAGTAGTTATATTTCTTAAAATAAGATCATTTAGAATTTCTTTAGTTTGGTTTGAGTGAAATACAACTGTACTTTAATTTGTACTAAAATGATCAAAGAAAAATTAAGTTTTTTTCAACAAACTGCTGTTAATCTTAAAGATGTTCCGTTTACATACTTTTTTTCTTTTCTGTCATAGAGTAGCGTGTATATATATTTGTTTTAATATAAAAAATAAAACTCAACGGACATAATATCTAATCTTTTTGTTATAGTTATTTGTACAAAGTTATACATACAGAGTGTAGAGATATGTTAATCCTTGAAACGATCCGTGTTGTATTGTAGTAACTTGATTGTTCTCCAAATGTCTGGAAAAAAAATAAATCCCTTTATAGTATAAATATAGGCAACATTTTAAGAACGTATTGCTATGTTCCCTTCACGAGGCGTTTTGACCTAAGCCTGTATCAATCTACTGTATTAAAGCCTCTACATTACAAGTCTTGTGTTTTCCTCTTATATTATTGTAAACTTATGTCTTTTTTTTTTACGGTTTTTTTTCATATTTATATGTTTTCCTTGATATTATATAAAAAGTTTGGTGGAGAATTTGAAACTAAAGATTCTCAAAATATCCTTTTAATATAAGAAACCGACATTTTATGTGTGACTGTCCCAAATCAAGAGCCTGTGATTCATCGGTTGGAGGTTTCTTTCCTTAAGACAATGTACGATTTTCAACTTTCAGTAAAACTAATATTGAAAAGTAAGTTATAAAAATCCCGGCATGACCAAATGTGAACTAATTCAGACAAGAAGTTTTCTGTACTACATGCACATTTTGACAATAAATGACTATTCAGTGATGCTGCTCGAGGCAAACTTATTTGAAAATCCAAAGTATTTAAGAAGATGAAAAGCAAGTACTCTCTTTTACGGGTGACAAAAATAACCAAAAGTACGAATTTGTGGTAAATTTACAATAATTCAAATGTTATAAAAATAAGGAGAAGTTGTATGGTTGCCAATGAGACAACTATCCACCAATGTTCAAATAAAGTGAATGTAAGCATTTAAAGGCAACTGTACGGCCTTCAACAATGAAAAAAACCCATACTGTATAGTCGGCTATAAAAGGTCACGACATGAAATATATGAAACAATTCGATTGGAAAAACTAACGGCCTAATTTATAACAAAACAAGTGACGAAAAACAAATATGACAGACGTGAACCAACGAAAACCACTTAACTTCATGCTCCTGATTTGAGACAGGCACATAAAGAATCTAGCGGGGTTAAAAATGTTTGTGAGCGCTCCACCCTCCCCTTACTTTGGACAGTGGTGTAACAGCACAACATCATAACAAACTATAAAAAATCAGTTGAAAAAGGCTTAACTCGTCAGACCGATAAAAAGAAAGGCATCAAACAAAAAGACACACAGGAGGTGACAGGGTATATGTCCATCCCTCATTCCTAACAACAAAAAGGACACTAAGTACAGATCTGAGAAAACTCGCAGTTTCTGGCAGCTAGTTCAAAACCAATAACTAATAAAAAAATCATGTATCTAAGACCACAATACCAATCAGTACACATCCAACATCCAATGAATTTAGTGTAAAGACGACATTAACAGTCAGAGAAAACCATGACCTTGTGCAATGTCAAAATATAGGTATCGACAGATTGTGTTTATCTCAACAAATGTAGAGCAAATTTTCCACGGTTATGCTTCACCATTCGAGACAAACAATTTGAACTATAAAGAAACTGTTTTTAGTTTCAATATTAAAGTATTATGATGACTGAGGATCATTTCAATTTTACCAATTAAGCTTTTTTTAAGCGATCCACAATGTTGTCGGAAGCAGTTCTGATGCAAGGTTATCACTTCAATGAAATAATAGATAAAAGAAGAAGCACAATTATACCTCATTTCGTGTTTGGGTTAAGTTGAAATGTCAATTTTATAAATTATTTTAATACATTCCCAAAAGTTATAAAAATAAACAACACTAACAGCACGTTATCAAATATATCGAAAGAAACCCAACTAAGGTAAAGGAATGGGTTCGATAAGGCCCTAAAATGGCCCCTTTTTCTAGCTTCATTTTTCAAATTAGGATATATTGACCAATATCACAATGAATCAAAGCTAAAACAATGTTTAACAATTACGTACTTGCGATCTATTTATTCCGTCACAAATACCACTGATTTTAAATTTTTTATGAACATTAAATGAAAACTAGTAAATTTCCATTATCTTTTTGGACAGGAAACAAAGAAAGCATGTGCGACAAATACATGTTTTTTAACATGATATATCTTATAACATTCTACACATCTTACTTATATTTTGTTTGTCGACGCCTGTGCTCTATTGTTCCTATATCGTAATTTGGTTAAAATACGGACTCTTGTGTGTTTTAGGTAAGAAAAAGGATTTGTAAATTGAACCATGCGTTTAAGTTGGATGAGCCCTTGTCGTTATCCAATCCTGATTCGATTACTGAATAAAAGAAAAATATATTCTTAGTCCCTTTGATATCATTCGCCTCTCTTTTATAAAAACACACGAGAATCCAACAAACGAGCTAGTCCTTGGGTTGGCCTTTAAGATCAGGCAAAAATCACAAAAATATTATATTGGAGGACCTTTTTTAATCCTTGTCAAAAGAAATGAAATAAAAAACAACAGTTCAGTATTGAGGATAGCGTGAACAACCATCTTTGAATGGATATTTTTCATGTTTTGTATAGTAGTAATATTTCTTTAAATGAGATCATTTAGAATTTCTTTAGTTTGGTGTAAATGAAATACAACTGTAATTTAATTTGTACTAAAATGAAAAAAAAAAAAACAATTTAAGTAATGTTCAATAAACTGCTGTTTATCTTAAAGATGTTCCGTTCATATACTTTTTTTCTTTTCTGTCATAGAGTAGCGTTGATATATATGTGTTTTAAAATAAAAATAACTCGACGGACATAATATCTATTCTTTTTGTTATAGTTATTTGCTCAAAGTTATACATACAGAGTGTAGAGCGATGTTAATCCTTGAAACGATCCGTGTTGTATTGTAGTAATTTGATTGTTCTCCAAATATCTGGAAAAAATTAAGTCTCTTTATCGTAAAAATATAGGCAACATTTTAAGAACGTATTGCTTTGTTTCCTTCATAAGGCGTTTTGACCTAAGCTTGTAGTAATCTACTGTATTAAAGCTTCTACCTTGCAAGTCTTGTTTTTCGGCATTTTGTATGTTTTTCGCTCATATTACTATATTTTTACGATTTTTGTTCAGATTTATATCTTTTCTTTGATATTAAAAAGTTTGGTGGAGAATTTGAAACTAAAGATTCTCAAAATATCCTTTTAATATAAGAAACCAACATTTTATATTTTGCTGCCCCAAGTCAAGAGCCTGTAATTCATCGGTTGGAGGTTTCTTTTTTAAGACAATGTACGATGGTCAACTTTCAGTAAAACTGATAATGCAAAGTAAGTTATAAAAATCCCCGGCATGACCAAATGTGAAATAATTCAGACGAGAAATTCAACGGCGTTATTTAATCTAAACGCACTAAGCGGAAAATAATAAGGGAGGTAGAGACCAACAACAACAACTGAATTATCTCCTGGCTTTGGACAGACACATAAGGCTTTTTTCAGGGTTAAAACAAATTTGAATGCTCAACTCTCACCTAACCAGTGACAGAGGTGTGACAGCACAATTAAACAACAAACAACTATTAAATCATATGTAAAAGGATTTCGTTTTTAATGGTATTCTTTACTTAATATTTTTTGTTTTTATGTCATAATTACAATTGTGTTTTACTATTTTTGTACGTAGAACATAAACATCCCCACGATAGTGGAGTAGTGAGTGCAGAGTGAATACCAATATATGTTTAAATCTTGTTCATCTCATATATAATCATTAGCTTTTTATAGTTTAATTTTTTAGTTTGTTTTACGGGACAAACAAATGTATTTGATGACATTTGTCAGTTTGACTCTGTTGTATAGTTGTCTTATTGGCAATTATACCACATCTACCTATCTTATGTTAGTAGATTATACTATGAAAACGTAATACTTGAGAGAGAAAAACAAAAACAAACGTTTTTTTCAGTTCATCACACTGTCTTTCTTTTCTCTAATACAAAATAAAGTATGATGGAGAATATTGAATTTTAAACTTGTATACTCAATTATCAAAGTGAGTTTACATAAATTGATCACAGTTTGTTTCGATATTTCTTTTAAACAGCAAACACACCGGACATTATATTAAATCAAACGTTTACGATAGGTCGTACAATCTTATACATACAAATATCTGAGTGATGTTAAACCTTCAAACGTTCCATTTACCGTAGTGATAAGATTGTTCTCCAAATATCTTAAACAAAAACAATGCTTTAATTGTAAAACTATTTTTAAAGTTTTTTACTACAATGTCCCTTTCCTGAAGCGTTTTGACCTAAATTTGTATTTAGCTGTTGTAAGAAACCAACATGTTATATTATGCTACCCCAAGTCAAGAGCCTGTAATTCATCGGTTGGAGGTTTCTTTTTTAAGACACTGTACGATCGTCAACTTTCAGTAAAACTGATATTGAAAAGTAAGTTATAAAAATCCCCGGCATGACCAATTGCGTCACAAATACCACTGATTTTAAATTTTTTATGAACATTAAATGAAAACTAGTAAATTTCCATTATCTTTTTGGACAGGAAACAAAGAAAGCATGTGCGACAAATACATGTTTTTTAACATGATATATCTTATAACATTCTACACATCTTACTTATATTTTGTTTGTCGACGCCTGTGCTCTATTGTTCCTATATCGTAATTTGGTTAAAATACGGACTCTTGTGTGTTTTAGGTAAGAAAAAGGATTTGTAAATTGAACCATGCGTTTAAGTTGGATGAGCCCTTGTCGTTATCCAATCCTGATTCGATTACTGAATAAAAGAAAAATATATTCTTAGTCCCTTTGATATCATTCGCCTCTCTTTTATAAAAACACACGAGAATCCAACAAACGAGCTAGTCCTTGGGTTGGCCTTTAAGATCAGGCAAAAATCACAAAAATATTATATTGGAGGACCTTTTTTAATCCTTGTCAAAAGAAATGAAATAAAAAACAACAGTTCAGTATTGAGGATAGCGTGAACAACCATCTTTGAATGGATATTTTTCATGTTTTGTATAGTAGTAATATTTCTTTAAATGAGATCATTTAGAATTTCTTTAGTTTGGTGTAAATGAAATACAACTGTAATTTAATTTGTACTAAAATGAAAAAAAAAAAAACAATTTAAGTAATGTTCAATAAACTGCTGTTTATCTTAAAGATGTTCCGTTCATATACTTTTTTTCTTTTCTGTCATAGAGTAGCGTTGATATATATGTGTTTTAAAATAAAAAAAAAAACTCGACGGACATAATATCTATTCTTTTTGTTATAGTTATTTGCTCAAAGTTATACATACAGAGTGTAGAGCGATGTTAATCCTTGAAACGATCCGTGTTGTATTGTAGTAATTTGATTGTTCTCCAAATATCTGGAAAAAATTAAGTCTCTTTATCGTAAAAATATAGGCAACATTTTAAGAACGTATTGCTTTGTTTCCTTCATAAGGCGTTTTGACCTAAGCTTGTAGTAATCTACTGTATTAAAGCTTCTACCTTGCAAGTCTTGTTTTTTCGGCATTTTGTATGTTTTTCGCTCATATTACTATATTTTTACGATTTTTGTTCAGATTTATATCTTTTCTTTGATATTAAAAAGTTTGGTGGAGAATTTGAAACTAAAGAATCTCAAAATATCCTTTTAATATAAGAAACCAACATTTTATATTTTGCTGCCCCAAGTCAAGAGCCTGTAATTCATCGGTTGGAGGTTTCTTTTTTAAGACAATGTACGATGGTCAACTTTCAGTAAAACTGATAATGCAAAGTAAGTTATAAAAATCCCCGGCATGACCAAATGTGAAAAAATTCAGACGAGAAATTCAACGGAGTTATTTAATCTAAACACACTAGGCGAAAAATAATAAGGGAGGTAGAGACCAACAACAACAACTGAATTATCTCCTGGCTTTGGACAGACACATAAGGCTTTTTTCAGGGTTAAAACAAATTTGAATGCTCTACTCTCACCTAACCAGTGACAGAGGTGTGACAGCACAATTAAACAACAAACAACTATTCAATCATTTGTAAAAGGATTTCCTTTTTTATGGTATTCTTTACTTAATATTTTTTGTTTTTATGTCATAATTCCAATTGCGTTTTACTATTTTTGTACGTAGAACATAAACATCCCCATCGACAGTAGAGTAGTGATTGCAGGGTGAATTCCATTATATGTTTGAATCTTGTTAATCTCAAATATAATCATTAGGTTTTCATAGAATACGATCCGTTTGGATTGTTCGTCTGTTTTACGAGACAAACACATGTGTTTGGTGACAATTGTCAGTTTGACTCTGTTGTATAGTTATTTTATTGGCAAATATACCACATCTACCTATCTTATGTTAGTAGATTATAATATGAAAACGTAATTCTTGAGAGAGAAAAACAAAAACAAACGTTTTTTCAGTTCATCACACTGTCTTTCTTTTCTCTAATACAAAATAAAGTATGCTGGAGAATATTGAATTTTAAACTTGTATACTCAATCATCAAAGTGAGTTTACATAAAATCACTACAGTTTGTATCGATATTTCTTTTAAACAGCAAACACACCGGACATTATATTAAATCAAACGTTTACGATAGGTCGTACAATCTTATACATACAAATATCTGAGTGATGTTAAACCTTCAAACGTTCCATTTACCGTAGTGATAAGATTGTTCTGCAAATATCTGAAACAAAAACAATGCTTTAATTGTAAAACTATTTTTAAAGTTTTTTACTGCATTGTCCCTTTCCTGAGTCGTTTTGACCTAAATTTGTATGCAGCTGTTGTAATACGGCCTAAATGTATCCCTCTCTTATTTTCTCTACCTTACAAGTTTGTATTTTGTTTTTTGTTGTTTTTTGTTGTATATTTTTCGCTCATATTACTGTAAACTTAGGTATTTTTACGGGTTTTTTTTTTTCATACTTATATCTTTTCCTTGATATTACAAAGTTTGTTGGAGAATTTGAAACTAAACATTCTCAAACTATCCTTTTAAAATAAAAAAAACACATTTTATATGTGCCTGTCCAAAGTCAAGAGCCTGTAATTCATCGGTTGGAGATTTCTTTCTTTCCTGAGTCGTTTTGACCTAAATTTGTATGCAGCTGTTGTAATACGGCCTAAATGTATCCCTCTCTTATTTTCTCTACCTTACAAGTTTGTATTTTGTTTTTTGTTGTTTTTTGTTGTATATTTTTCGCTCATATTACTGTAAACTTAGGTATTTTTACGGGTTTTTTTTTTTCATACTTATATCTTTTCCTTGATATTACAAAGTTTGCTGGAGAATTTGAAACTAAACATTCTCAAACTATCCTTTTAAAATAAAAAAAACACATTTTATATGTGCCTGTCCAAAGTCAAGAGCCTGTAATTCATCGGTTGGAGATTTCTTTTTTAAGACAATGTACGATCGTCAACTTTCAGTAAAACTAATATTAAAAAGTAAGTTATAAAAATCCCCGGCATGACCAAATGTGAAATAATTCAGACAAGAAATTCAACAGCGTTATTTAATCTAAACACACTAGGCGAAAACAAAAATAAGGGGGGTAGAGTCCAACGAAAACCACTAAATTATATCCTGGCTTTGGACAAACATATAAGGCTTTTTTCAGGGTTAAAACAAATTTGAATGCTCTACTCTCACCTAACCAGTGACAGAGGTGTAACAGCACAATTCAAGAACAAACAACTATTAAATCATATGTAAAAGGATTTCGTTTTTAATGGTATTCTTATTTATTATTTATTTTTGTTCTTATGTAATAATTACAATGGCGTTTTACCATTTTTGTACATACAACATAAACATCCCCATCAACAGTACAGTAGTGAGTGTAGGGTGAATTCCATTATATGTTTAAATCTTGTTCATCTCATATATAATCATTAGCTTTTCATAGAATACGATCCGTTTTGATTTTTTAGTTTGTTTTACGGGGCAAACAAATGTATTTGGTGACATTTGTCAGTTTGACTCTGTCATATAGTTGTCTCATTGGCAATTATACCAGATCTACCTATCTTATGTTAGAAGATTATACTATGAAAACGTTATACTTGAGAGAGAAAAACAAAAACAAACGTTTTTTTCAGTTCATCACACTGTCTTTCTTTTCTCTAATACGAAATAAAGTATGATGGAGAATATAAAATTTTAAACTTGTATACTCAATTATCAACGTGACTACATAAAATTAATACAGTTTGTATCGATATTTCTTTCAAACAGCAAACACACCGAACATTTTATTAAATCTAACGTTTATGATAAGTCGCACAATCTTACACATAACTGAGTGATGTTAAACCTTGAAGCGTTCCATTTACCGTAGTGATAAGATTGTTCTGCAAATATCTGAAACAAAAACAACACTATTTTAAAGTTGTTTACTACAATGTCCCTTTCCTGAAGCTTTTTGACATAAATTTGTATTTAGCTGCTGTAATACGGCCCTAATGTATCCCTCTCTAATTTTCGCAAATACTTCTGTAAAGCATGATATAATCACGGATACATTTAGGTACTTTGCCAATTTCAGTTTATAAACTATGCATGTAGGGATTTAATTTGTACATAGAACAGATAACGTTCACAATTGCAATTGTCAAATAATTCTGATATCGTAAATTGTAAGATTACTTATTTAAGGAATGACTGTAATATTTTTTCTGTCTATGAAGAAATAACATCAAAAATGTGGTGCACACTAAATAACCCGCGTAACGGGTTATTTTAAAGTGTGCACCACATTTTTTATGTTATTTCGAATAGACAGAAAAAATATTACAGTCATTTCTTATAATTTAATTCTAAATTCCATTTTAAACCGGAGTAAACCATGAAAAAACGTTGATGACGTCACGGTCACATGACAAAATTATGTCTATGAGCTGATAAACAAAACAACTTCAGCCAATCAGAAGACGCGTTACATCCAAAATTAAATTATTTCTTGTTAATCAATAATTCTTCATGAAATTGTTTGTGTGTAGCCTTCACTTTATATGTAACACAAAAATATATAACTCCATCTGGTTTTTGTTCAGTTTATTTTGTTGTTGTTGTTGTTTACTTATTTTTACTTTCTATGCTTCTGTTTTATATATATATGTATATTACGCTTTTGAAACATATTGCCTATAATCAGCACAACAAGTATATTTTTCAGTTCCTGGCGCAATTTTGTTAATGTAACGGAGCTATAAACAACTGTAAAACAAGTGGGAGTTTTATCTACCTATTAAGACAGGTTTAACCTACCATTTTCTTAGAAAAAAATTTTTTGAAGACAGGATTATGACAGTTGTTTTCCAGTTGTTCTGTTGTATGATAAGTCGAGCGTCTAATTTTGTCAAGTTTTATGGACTTCCCTTATTTATTAAGTTGAGATAAGGAATTTTCAATGTGTTTAGATAATCCTGGGTATTTATATATATCGTGTTATCGCAAATTTACATTGATCAGAGAAAATATTGGATAAAGGTATTTCAAACAGGAACACCTGCTGTCATGTGTTCACCTTCGACCAATAAAAAAATCACAACACATCTAACTTTGAAGTAATAAACTACGGCAAAGTCTTTTTCTTCCATTTCTCATTTTTATTTGAAAATAATATTTTGTGTTAAAAATCTTGTTGAAATCTTTGGATATTCAGGCAGTTTTTCCCTATTTAAATGTACTCTTACCTAAATGCATGTGTTTTAAAAATAATATTTATTAGTCATAAACTTGTCAACAATTCCATTGATGATTGGATTATTATTGCTAAGACATAAATGGAAAGTTTGTTTTATCAATTCGTATCCATTGTGTGATGATAATGTCGTACGTCTGTATTCATTTTCACTTTGAAAGGAGTTTTAATTATCAACTAACAACGTCAGAATTCTGCTCCTTATTGTGATAAGTTAAATCTAAAAAACGAAAGATATTTCGTGTTATATGTTGCTCACTGTTTGATGTTTTTGATTTTTTTAATTATCGAAGCATTACTCATTTGCGTTTTGATATATTTTGTTAGGCTTAAGTAAACCTAGAAAGATTTTTACAGGGATTATCTGACCTAAATCTAAGATATTCTCAAGTTTTGACTTTTAGACTTTGCTTTTGAGATTTTATCATATCAACTAGGATTATTCAAACTTAATAATTTGCTCTATTTTTTATTGAGCAAAATTCAATATTTTCAAAAATTTAATTTAACTTATGGCACCTTGATCAAGTAAAAGACAGAATAAACAAACTAAGAATAAGTAAGGGACTGGTCATTTTCTTTCATTGGGGGGATGGGAGGAAACAGTGGAATTTCTCTGATTTTTTCATGTTCCCACCTTGAGGAATGAAAATAAATTCAAGTCCCTCCCTTACAAAGACATTAAAATTTCACCCCCCCCCCCCCCCGAAAAAAAACGTTCTTGATACTTTTATTCTTAATTATAACAAAAATACAAACATACAATTTCTATATATCATTATCGTTCAATAAATATTGCATCAGTAGCGGATATAGAGCTAAAAGTGGGAGAAGTTGTTTGTAACTTCAGAGAACTTTAGGATATATAAAAAAAATTAGGAGATGCGGTATAATTGCCAATGAGACAGCTATCCAACAGAGTTAAAATGAAGTGGTAGTAAGCAATTATAAGCCACCGTACGGCCTTCAACAGAGTTGAAATGAAGTGGTAGTTAACAATTATAGGCCACCGTAAGGCCATCAATAATGAGAAAAAAATCATATAATATAGTCAGCTATAAAAGGGCCGACATGAAAAATGTTAAAAAAAATTCAAACGAGAAAACTAAAGGCGTAATTTATAACAAAGTAATTTACGAAAAAACAAATACATGTATAACAGACATGAACCAACCTCAACCACTGTACTTTATGCTCCTGACTTGGGACAGGCATATACAGAATATTGCAGGGTTACACTTGTTTGTGAGCGCTCAACCCTCCCTTAACCCCTTAAGCTGGGACAGCGGTGTAACAGCACAACATATAAACAAACTAAAATTCATTTGCAATTTGTAACTCAAAAAATCGGTAAGAGGCACTAAAACAAAAGACACAAAGTACCGAAAAAAGAGTACTCACAGTCACTGAAAGGTATTCGATGTCAATACCAAGTAATAAATAAATTAAAAACCAATTGTTCAGAGAACAATTGAAGGTCTTTCCACAAAAAAACAAGAATTTTGATATGAAAATAGTAAAAATTCGGTTTAAAATGTCATTAACAGCGTCAAATGATAGCTTATAGTACGCTGATTCCAAAAATATATGGTTTCTATACAATATTTTTTAAATAAGGGAAAATAATTTGTCACTTCCGGTTTGAAAAAAGTTACTTCCGGTATTATTTAACTGTTTAATTGACACTGATTCCAAAAATATGGTTCTATATACTTTTACATTCAAAAAGTACAAAAAAATTGCTACTTCCGGTTTGCACAGGGTCACTTTCGGTTCCTTTTTCAAGGTCATATGGCTTGCAACTAAATGCAAAAAGTCCTATGGCTTTATCATGTATACAAATGAGGTAAGAGCAAAGGTCAAAATCTAGAACGTCAATTCAACCTTTGACCTTGGGCTCAATTTCAAGGTCATCAACCAAGGACCTCAATTCAAAAGACCCTAGATCTAAATTATATTTGGTTAATGAGTTATATCACCATATGCATATTTTTAAATAAAGAGGGGAGAAAACTCTACTTTGATGTAAGCGCACCCTTTAAACCAATATGTATGTGTTACGACATGTCGCAACTTACAATTAAGTAAAAATATGTTGTCGATATCTTATATCGTGTTTGAAAAGTGGTGAAAATAAGCCAAAATCTAAATTTAGAAATGACCTTGACCTTTGACCTTGACTCTGTTTTCTTTTTTTTGGACCAAGGATCTCAAATCAAAAGACCATAGGTCTTAATCACTTATGGTTTACAAGCTACAACTACATTTTTCTTATTAAAAATACAAAAGGGGAAATAACTCCCATATGTTGTTTCAGGACCGCTTCGGTCAAAATTATTTTTAAGATCCTGAAGATATAACAAGCAAATTGGTGAAATAATTTTGTCGTAATCTTTAACGGTTGCGAAGGAGATTTGTACACAAGAAAAACTGTGTTTGGGGAGATAACTCTTACAATAAAAAGTGTTCGGCTTAACAGGGTCAGTTTCAAAATCGTAATAACTGTTCGATATCTAAGCGACATCTTGGGAAACAAAAAAGCACCGTCAGAAAAAAGTGGCGGAAGAAGAAAAAAATAATAATAATAATAATAATAATAATTAAAAACCAATTGTTCAGAGAACAATTGAAGGTCTTTCCACAAAAAAAAACTAGTATTTTGATATGAAAATAGTAAAAATTTGGTTTAAAATGTCATTAACAGCTTCAAATGATAGCTTATAGTACGCTGATTCCAAAGATATATGGTTTCTATGCAATATTTTTTAAAAGAAAGTAGATAATTAAATACTTCCGGTTTGAAAAAAGTTACATTTTACTGTTTAATTGCCACTGTTTCCAAAAATATATTGTTCTATATACTTTTACATTCAAAAAGTACAAAAAATAGCTACTTCCGGTTTACACAAGGTCACTTCCTGTTCCTATTTCAAGGCTTGCAACTTAAAGTAAAAAATCCCTTGCTTTATCATGCAAACATATGCGGTAAAAGCAAAGGTCAAAATCTAGAACGTCAAATTAACATATGACCTTGAGCTCAATTTCAAGGTTATAAACCAACGACCTCAAATCAAAAGACCCTAAGTCTTAATTATATTTGGTTGATGACTTATATCACCATACGCATATTTTTAAATAAAAGAGGGGAGGAAACTCTAATTTAATGTTAGCGTACCCTTTAAACCAATATGTATGTGTTACTACATGTCGCAACTAACAATTAAGTAAAAATATGTTGTTGATATCTAATATGATGTTTGCAAATGGGTAAAAATAAGCCAAAATCATAATTAAGAAATGACATTGACCTTTGACCTTGACCCTATTTTCTTTTGTTTAGACCAAGGACCTCAAATCAAAAGACCCTAGGTCTCTATCAATTATGGTTTACCAATTACATTTACATTTTAATTATTTTAAATACATAAGGGGAAATAACTCTCATATGGAGTGTCCGGACCGCTTCGCTCAAAATTATTTTTAAGATCCTTAGGATATAACGAGTAAATTGGTGAAATAATTTTGTCGTAATCTTTAACGGTTGCGAAGGAGTTTTGTTCACAAGAAAAACAGTGTTTGGGGAGATAACTCTTACAATAAAAAGTGTTCGGCTTAACAGGGTCAGTTTTAAAATCGTAATAATTGTTCGATATCATAC